GTACTGTTCAATCACTTATTAAAGGACCACTCTAGGCACCCAGACCACTTCAGCTTAATGAAGTGGTCTGGGTGCCAGGTCCAGCTAGGGTTAACCCATTGTTTTATAAACATAGCAGTTTCAGAGAAACTGCTATGTTTAGCAATGGGTTAAGCCTTCCCCCAAAGCCTCTAGCGGCTGTCTCATTGACAGCCGCTAGAGGCGCTTGCGTGCATCTCACTGTGATTTTCACAGTGAGAGCACGCCAGCGTCCATAGGAAAGCATTGATAATGCTTTCCTATGCGACCAGCTGAATGCGCGCGCATTCAGCCAACGGGGCGGAGAGGAGGAGGAGAGCTCCCCGCCCAGTGCTGGAAAAAGGTACGTTTTACCCCTTTTCCCCTTTCCAGAGCCGGGCGGTTGGGGGTCCCTGAGGGTGGGGGCACCCTCAGGGCACTATAGTGCCAGGAAAACGAGTATGTTTTCCTGGCACTATAGTGGTCCTTTAAGGAAGTGGAAAATTTGGGGATCTCTTGATACCAAGCCAAGGTCCGGTAGACCAAGAAATATTTCAGCCACAACTGCCAGAAGAATTGTTCGGCATACAAAGAAAAACCCACAGGTAACCTCAGGAGAAATACAGGCTGCTCTGGGAAAAGACGGTGTGGTTGTTTCAAGGAGCACAATACGACGAAACGTGAACAAAAATAGGCTGCATGCTCAAGTTGCCAAAAAAGAAACCACAAAAAAGCCTAGTTGCAATGTGCCCGAAAACACCTCGACACGCCTCACAGCTTCTGACACACTGTAATTTGGAGTGTCAAGACCAAAATAGAGCGTTATGGTCACAACCATAAGCGCTATGTTTGGAGAGGGGTCAACAAGGCCTATAGTGAAAAGAATACCATTTCCACTGTGAAGCATGGTGGTTCTTACTGATGTTTGGGGGGAGGGTGGGTGTGAGCTCTAACGGCACGGGAATCTTGTAACAGTTGATGGCAAGATGAATGCAGCATGTTATCGATAAATACTGGTAGACAATTTGTAGATTACGCTAATGTAGTGTACCTATAATCTTAATTTTAATAACAGGAGGCGAGTATTTTACATAACTTTCTATACTTATGCCTACAACAGCACGTGTATGTACGTAGCGGGGAATTACGATGCCACATAAACATAGTTAACCCCAATAAAACCCCCCCAATAACGACAGACAACTTAGTATGGATGAACAGGCCACAGCATTTATTATAACATAAATAAATTACTGCATAACACATCCATAACTTTATTTATTAAACTCTTCTTTCTGTTAGAAATAAATAATCATAAATTAACATATATACATATAATAACTAAAACGTGCTATGCAGAGACCCAACCGTCCTTGCCAATAAACATCCAGTGGTTCCTAATCACCACTTCCTCTCACCTCCCCCCTCGTCATAAAAAATCCTTCCAATGCCCGCCATCAGCCGACCTTATCCACGCTCGATGGGCACGATACCTCAGGCAACCTAATGTTTAACCTTTTGAAGCAGGGGACGTTGAGACCTGCAAAACATAAAAACTTACTCCATCCTTAGACATAACCCCTCAAACTTAATTGGCAAGGACATACCCCCGGCTAGCTGTGACTAACTGAAACTACAAAGGGGTGGGCGGGCGGGAAGCTGTTTGCTGGCCTGCATCCCAAGTGGCACTGAGGTAAGACCTCCCCCATACTAACTTACATTAAACTTAATCCCTCCCACACACACTTACCAAGTCATTCCCCTGCATCTATCCCCACACTCCATGTGCCCTTGTCCGCTTAGCTGCGCTATCTCCCCAGGGCCTTGTATGTACGTAGCGGGGAATTACGATGCCACATAAACATAGATAACCCCAATAACCCCCCCCCCAATAACGACAGACAACTTAGTATGGATGAACAGGCCACAACATTTATTATAACATAAATAAATTGCTGCATAACACATCCATAACTTTATTAAACTCTTCTTTCTGTTAGAAATAAATAATCATAAATTAACATATATACATATAATAACTAAAACGTGCCATGCAGAGACCCAACCGTCCTTGCCAATAAACATCCAGTGGTTCCTAATCACCACTTCCTCTCACCTCCCCCCTCGTCATAAAAAATCCTTCCACTGCCCGCAATCAGCCGACCTTATCCACGCTCGATGGGCACGATACCTCAGGCAACCTAATGTTTAACCTTTTGAAGCAGGGGAGGTTGAGACCTGCAAAACATAAAAACTTACTCCATCCTTAGACATAACCCCTCAAACTTAATTGGCAAGGACATACCCCCGCCACCAGACCCGCTGCTTTACCCCTAAATCAGCGGGGAACCCCACCAAAACCTCCCATGGCCTGTTCCACCGCTTCTTGAAGGGCAAGATTGAAAAGGTGGAGCCCGACCTCTGTTAGGTGTACCCCATCCCTCCGAAAAAAATGAGCCGCCTCCCACTCAAAAACCCTGTGGCGGACCGGGATCCCCCGAACCCCCAAAACAAACTGGGAAACCCGCCTGTTTAACTTGCGTCTGCAACGCTCCATCGCACTCTGGCTCCTGGCGCCACGCCAATAGTTACGGCAATGACCTCAGACCACACCAAGCGCACACTGGGAAACAAATTCAGAATGCAGACTAGGTCCCGCTTCACCGCCGAAATCAAATCCCAAATGGGCACCAAGCCCAGATCATTCCCCCCCAGGTGGATCACCAGGACACTTGGCGCCCCCAGGAGATGGGACAACTGCACCAACTCGGGTAGGAGTCGGGACCACCTCATACCCCTTGCCCCGAGCCATCGAACCTCTGCTTCGGAAGGCGTGAAACCCAACCTTTCGCCTCCAGGCCGAACGTCCGCACGCTGCCCAGCCCAGTAAACATAAGAGTGCCCGATGATCCAGATCCTGGGGGGAAACTAAACTGCGGAAAGAAATCATGTCAATAAACCGGCCGGACAAACATAGGAAACATAACGTCTCGAGTCCCACCTACCAATCCTTTGAACCACCTGCGCCGGCATGCCAAGCCTAGAGACCTCGGTAGCCGCCCCAATATGGAACGAATGGCCCCCAAACTCCCTGCTATCCAATCCTACAGCTTCCAGCCCCAAACGAAACACTCTAATAAACTGGAAATGGGAAAGGAAACTACCATCCCCGTGTACCAGGAGTGGCAACGCGGGGGAAGGGCGCAGAGCACAATATTCCCCAAAGGACCAAACAGGACAGATGCCGGAACCCGGCACGGACCCCAACCGGACCCACTTACCCCTCCCCAAGACATCCGTCTTAGAGCGGCGAATCCTGAACGAGATCCGGTCAGCGGTGCATGAAATGTCCCCAAACAGCACCCCCCCCCACTTGCTGCTGGCTGGGGCACACCAGCTCCCCAATCCACATTACCCCAAAAATGCCAAGGAAAAGGCTAGGCGAAAGAGCCGAACATCGAAATCCGAATGCCAAACCCTGTGCAACGCCTCACACAAAGTAGTTAGGAATGTGCTCGAGACAGGAGCACACCCCACCTCAAACCCTTCAGCGCCTACCGTATGATGAATGCCTTGGTAGCGTCGTCCCATCCCCGCAACTTAAACAGGAAGCTGATCCCCGCTAAGCGCGCCGAAACGGCCGAGGGAGACAACCCCGCAGCCTCCCAATCCCTAAAGAGAAGAACCAAACCCTGCAGGCGAGCGGAGGAGTCCCTGAAACCCCCCTGGGACCTCTCCCACCCGTCCCATTCCCACCAGACCTTGTTATAGCGGTCCCACGTGGCCGCAGCCACGGACCAGCTCCATTAGTCTGTCAGACCCAAGGACCACATCTCTGTCAGACACGGGACACCCACCAATTCGGCCTGTGGAGCCACTGCCCGAAACACGTCCCACTGTGAACGAGAGAGAGCATCGGCCATCACATTACGTACACCCGGGATGTGCACAGCCCTACAATATACATTCAGCTCTAGACAGCGCAGAACTAGGCGCCGCAGCAAGCGAACCACGGGGGGAGAGGAAGCAGACAGCTGGTTGATCGCCTGCACCACTCCTAAGTTGTCACAATGGAAGACCACCCGTCTATCCACCAGCATGGAACCCCACACTTCCAAAGCCACCAAAATAGGGAAGAGCTCCAGAAACGCCAAGTTTCGAGTGAGCCCCGTCCCCTGCACGGCCTCCGGCCAAGAGTCAGCGCACCATTTGGCGCCCAGAATGGCCCCAAAGCCAACCGAGCCCGCCGCATCGGTGAACAAATGGAGGTCGGCGTTAGAGACCTCCGGGGCCTGCCAGTAGGACCTGCCATTATAGGAAGCCAAAAAGGAATCCCAAACGGCCAAGTCAGCCCGCAAAGGCCGGGTAAGCCGGATAAAATGCCGCGGGTGAACGACCCCTGACGTTGCTGCCTCCAGGCGCCGATTAAAGATGCGCCCCATAGGCAGGATTCGACAGGCAAAATTGAACTTCCCCAGCAGAGACTGCAGGCAGCGCAGCTGTATCTTATGCCGCCCCAAGGCCCGGGACACCGCTAGAGCGACCTGAGGCCGATGAGGAGGAAGGCCCACCGCCCCGGCCCAAGAAAGGACGGCGCCTTGTTGAGGGGCTGGACGAGTCATGATGGAAAGCCAGAGGCCGATATCCATCTGATCCCATGACAGCGAGGGACGCACTGCCAGCCGCTGTCGAAACTGCTCGTCGTATCTCCACCAACCCAGCCCCCCATAGGTGCGACAAGCATTCCAGATCGTGTCCTGATAACAGAACAGCGCGGAGCACTTGTGGGGAAACTTTTCCCCAACCACGCTGGCCAAAATAGAGAACGCCCGAATCCAGTTCCCAAAGGTCTTGGGAATTTTGCGGAAACGGTACTTCTCCCTATCCTTCTCCGACTCCTTACTGTCCTTGTCCGCCACGGGAGGAGCTTCCTCCAGTGGCAGGAGAGAAAATATCTCCACAAATTCCCCTTTCCAAATTTTTTCTTTCGTTTCCTGCTTCAAGTGCAAGCCCAGAGGGCCAGACCAGCACATGTAAGCAGCACCCCGCGCTACGTCCGGGACCCCCCCTTCGAGACCAGCATCAACCGAGGCGGCGCCAACACTGGCCACCGCGGGTGCCGGGGAACCCAGGGGCACCGTACCGCCACCCATCCCGAGAAGAGGCCCAGGAGGGGGAGAAGCCTGAGCATTAGGAGGGAGCAGGGCCGGGGACCAAGCCGACCGGAGTTGACTGTCCACCGAAGCGACCCCACTAACCGCCATCCCCCGCTCCCACTGATCCAAAAAAAACCCTAAGACCCGAGAGGAACCCTCCCAACCCGGGACTCGCAGCGCCAGAAGCGGAGGGAACAAAGTACTTACCGGTCGCAGACTGGCGATCCAAGCCCGGTGCTGCGCTCACAGAAGGCAAAGAATCAGCATTTCCAGCAGCCACAGAAGACATCAGCTGTGTTCCAGGCGCCACCTGCTGGACGGATCCATGAACTGCAGCAGTATCCTGTGAAGAAAGCAGCAGAGCAGACGTGAGCCCATGCCCCTGAGGAGATGGCCGAGGTAAGTGACCTGCAGGGGGGGAGGGGGCCCAGACAAGGCGGGGGGGGAGGACAATAGAGAGGAGGAAAGCCGGGGGAAGAAACTAGATGGGGGAGAAAGAACAGAGGTGCGGGGAAGGCAGGGACAGCAGGGGCAGACCCACCAGACAGGGGGAAAGGGGACACTGAAAAAGCGGAGGGGGGACCAGGGGGCCCAGCCAAGGGTAAGCTGGGCCCCCTGAAAGAAGATAGAGAAGCAGCAGGGGAAGGAGGGGGGACAGGGGAGACAGAGCCCTGTGAGCCTTCCTCACTGGCAGAGGAGGCTTCCGATGGGCAAGGGGACCCCCCCCCCCGATCCCCAACGGCGGTACCACGGTACCCTGCACGGCCCGCTGACAGCCCCCGGCCCGCGATCCTCCTCCGGCGGCCGCGGCGGATGGTGTGGGGGGAGGAGGAGTAGGCCACGCGGCAGCCGCAGGCCAGGGAATGTAGGCGGCTAAGGATGGGGCAGGCCTCGTGGCTGAAGGCCGTGCCACCCTCGCGGCCGCAGTAGGCCGCGTGTCTGGGGCTCTGGCGATGCCTCGGGCCCGGGCTCCTGCTCCCAAACCGGGCCCGAGGAGTATTCTCAGGAGACAGTCTGGCAGGCGGACGGGAACGCCTGCTGGTGCGGCCTACAGGGGCCGCATGGGAGGCAGCAGGGGAGACCGCAGGGGGTGCTTCAGGGGAGGGTAGGCCACGGGGGGTGCCCACACCGGCAGCCATACCTCCACTAATGTTCTGAAATTGCTCCCTCAGTTGCCGGCCACCATCCAGCGCAGCAGCAGCCCTGAGGGACGACAGGATCGCCTCAATATCCATCACCTCAAGTCGTGTCAATCTGCAGGAGCAGGAGGACAGGAAGCTGTTTGCTGGCCCGTATCCCAAGTGGCACTGAGGTAAGACCTCCCCCATACTAACTTACATTAAACTTAACCCCTCCCACACACACTTCCCAAGTCACTCCCCTGCATCTATCCCCACACTCCTACATGTGCCCTTGTCCGCTTAGCTGCGCTATCTCCCCAGGGCCTAGTCAATCATAAAACTTAAGCCAATCAAAAATAAGTTACACCTTTTTCTTTGGTCGGTAATAAGTCTAAAGCAAAATCAGGAACCATAATGAAAAAACAGTTTGATAAAGCCTCTTTGCAAGAGAAACGCATTAGTGTTTTATGTTACTGATTTTTTTTATCTCCAATAAAGATAGCCCATTTATGCTATTGGAGCTTCTAAGCCTATCCTTTTAGTCTATTTTTTATTTATTTTCTAAATAATATAATTCCTTCCACTCTCTCCAACACTCCCACTGGAGGACTCGAGGAGTGATATCCTTGGTGGGGATCATACCACCTACGCCTACATATATTGAGCAATATCCCATTTGCTCTTCACTTGTGAGTATACCTCCATTTTTAAATCATTTTATTTTGTATTATCCAGAGAGCACTATTTTGTGTTGTTATCCTTTTTGTATATATCACCAACTATTTGAATACCGGCCTACTGCCATTGGAAAGGAGATATACCCTACTACTACTGACCCCCTTTTGAGGACATCCAAGGACCATCTACATATCCATAGGCGGGGATTGTACCGTCCAGGCGCACATATCTGGAGCGGAGTATAGGCTCCAGAAAAATGGAAGTGCAATTCCTTTCCCATCATTTACCATCACTTAAGATCTCAACATACTACACTATGTCCGTGTCTTTTTCCTTCCTTTGAGCGTGGGAATTCCTTCATAGGCGCTGCTCCCTGATGCTACTATCTACATCCATCGTACCACCAGAAAATAAGAGTCTGGTTTTTGGGAAGTTTCAGCAGCAACATACTACAATTGCAAGTACTGATTCCACTTACCCCTCTATATAATGAAAAAACTTATACTGTATTCAGTGGAGTGCCCTGTGAGAGTGCCAAGTCTGCATAACACAGTATCTAAACCAACAGGCCGAGCATGTCAAATAGTTTATCCTGGGCTTTAAGCCCTTTTTTCAATTCCTTTTCCAACCTGAGCGGAACATGAAGACCACCACTGTGATGTCAAATTCTAGAGTGTGCGCAATCCTGTCGGGGAGAAGTGGTCTGGGGCATTCAGCACCTTCTTTTCCATAGGTTTCAGTAACCAGAAATGTATGAATTGCGCCATAAATTCCGTGAGGGTCAAACATAGGTACACCGTGGTGTCGATGAATGTACCTTCCTCCTCCTGGAATCTCCCTTGTTAAAGGGACTTTCTCAAATAATCTCTCAGACCTATCGGGAGTAGGCTTTTGGCATATCTTGCCACTCTTCCTCCTCTGAGGGTGAATCGTCTGCCCTCCATTCGTCAGCTACCACTGGGGAGGAAGAGAGTTTTCCTCATCTGAAGACAGTGATGGAGGGGGAACCAAGTCTTGAAGCTCTACTTTGTTGGATCTGTTTCAGAGGGGCCTTGCCTTTAATCTTCCGAGGCCCAGTGCTGGTGCCCTTCCAATGTCGTTTGGGCACGGGTGCTTGGTCTTTAGAGGTCTCAGAACCTATAACTTCAGTGGTGCCTCATGACCTGTTACCTCTGGGGGACCCTTTACTAGCATCTTGGAGATGGCTTTTTCCATTGATGCTGCTACTGCAGCATTGGTCATAGGCTGAAAGTCTTGAGTGGGAGGCTGATGTGAGTCACTCATGATGTCATGTTATTCGAACCTTCCAGTCTGTGGAAGATAGAACAGGTTATGGTACAGGAGTACACGTGCTTAAACACACAGCAAGAGCCTCCAAGTACAACTGGGGTTCACCCAGGGTATGAGGCAGTACTGGCAAGCAGCCAGAAGAGGTGGTCACGCTCTATGCAACTGAGGTTAGCACTTGCATTTTATATGAGGTTGTAGCTCTGTGAGATCGAAAGACAATCTAAGTCTCGAAATCGTGTTAAGAATTCACCCTTGTTATGCCCCAATAATGTGGGGTCGGTACCAGTGCGGGGGTCACCCTCTTAGAGTATGCATATGAAATTAGGAATGGTTCACCGCAATTGCATCATGGAGGTGATGATGACAGTATTGTTTTATCATGCAGTCTAGATATGGTACCAATAAAGGGGGATCACCCCTATGACAGTGTCTCTGTGGGTTTATAATGCTTGACGGGGTCACCCTAGTTATCCGGTCATTACCTCTGGGACAGATATATTTCTTGGGGTTCACCCCAGCTTTAAGGGGGTCACCCCTATTATGATTTGTATAGTAATTATTTGGTGAATGCACATATGCAAGTGAGGGGGTCACCCCAGTAGTGAGGTGGGATACCCCTATTGGTAATGCCTCAGTAAGTGTACAGTGGATGTAGGGGTAGCGTCTCACCCCAGTGAATTTTATTATATGCACTATATTTGAACAGAATAGAATATATATGGGGTCTCATCCCTTTAATAGGTTAGAGGGGTTCACCCCCTGAGAACACTGCTACTGTGCAGGTGAATCAAAATCTTTCTGATTAGATATATGACACAATTGGGTGTCAGCATGAACATGCATCTTCTAGGTAGACAGTGCAGTATATATCATCATAACAGGCATTAATCCTTTCTTCCAACATTATATTTGCCTTACTACAAGTCTTGTACACAGACTAGATTGTGTGAATCACAATCTGGGTGAATTAAAATGGCGAGCGTGAATTTCACGTTTTTTTTTTTTTTAATTCTTTATTTTTTGTAGTGCTTTGCATGAAACAAGATATATTATAAGCCATCATAGAGAAACAATAAAACCATAGATAATAGTAGTAAGCGGCCTAGACATAGCACTCTTTTATATTTTAAAATGTATGTGTATAAGGGAGGGTGATGTCATGGTCAGTGTCAGGGACACTGTGGGCACCCACACCACTTCTGCTAATTGAAGTGGTCTGGGTGCTGTGTCCCTTTTGCACCTAGTGCTGCAATGTAAAACATTGCAGTTCCAAAGAACTGCAATGTTTACATTGCAGCACTAAGTCTGCCCTCAGTGGCTGTCTACCAGACAGACACTGGGGGCGCTTCCGGAATCGTAACGGACTTTTGGTCCGTTATCTGACGCTGGACGTTGTCACGCTTTGCATGAGGACCTCCAGCGTCCGCTTTTCCCCCCATAGGAAAGCATTGATTCAATGCATTTCTACGGGGAGGTCTGAAGAGCTCACTGCATTTGCCGCGCATTAGACCCCGGGGTGCTTGAAAAAGACCTCTTGTAGGTCAAAACGTTGCTGTCCTTTTTTTGTTTCAATAAATCTGTTTGTGGCTTTCACACTTTGAGTGCCTAGGAATCTTTCTTGCTGCCTTAATATGTTAGGATTGCTCGTCCTGTTCCGGAGCACCGGTGGCCACTGGGAGTGAGTGCGGTTTCCTGTGATCATTTTTGCTGGACACCTGTTAGAATTGGTCAGGGTGAGATCTCTGTTTAGACATACCGGTGATGTATTTATCTTGTACTTTAATCCGGATCAGTGCAATTACAATGTATAGATCAAGGGGAACTTGTGCAAGGGGAGAGGGAAGCAACGTGGTGCGAGTGAACATTTGCACAGTGTGTGAGCGTCTTAGAACTGTGAAGTGACCCTGATCATAAATGTGATAGGTCTTGGTTAGTATTCTAGCCCTGGCCAGTCAAGTCCTGTGGTCTATCGGCTCTCGGGATGAATGGGGTGATATTGCCAGGATTCCAAGTAACTGCTGGGGTTCCAGTGGACAGGCTCGCCGCTTGATCTGTTAGTCCCAAAGCCGTAAGAAAGGAGGGTGCTTCCGATAGCGGGGTGAGTGTGTGTGGTTCCATTGCGAGTTGCCGTGATTGTTCCAGATGCTCCCCACCTGTATGCCAGACCTGCGGCTCTTAATTTTGAGGTGACTGGCCCCAAGGCCAAAGGAGGGTGGATCTTGTTAAGTCCTGAAAGAAGGACAGTGATGAGCCCTCAAAAGAGAGAGGGGTTTTGCCCTTTAAGGCAGACATGATGTGGAGTTTGTCCTGGAGGTATCGGTGATGTCCATGCGGATAGCCGCAATGTCACCCTCGGTGCTGCCGGAGCCTCCCACTAAGTTTCCTGCTGCGGTCTCTGCAAGGATTGCTGAAAGTGTTATTGTTGTTGGTCTTGCGCTTAAATTTGTACTGCTTCTGTGCTTGGAAGAAAGGCATCTATCGATGCAGCTTGTCTTGGAAAGGTACAGTATTGTGCTGGGAAAGCTGGATGGGTTCAGGGAAAGGAGATATTCCGTGGGTTTTAGTATAATCGCAAGGAGCTTCCAGATATCTGACCAGGTTGCCAGCAAGCCCTGCCCCCTGGTTTAAGTTTTATGATTGACTTGTGCTGCTGGAGACATAACTAAAGAAATGTATGCAAAATCTGAAGCCTCCTGTCCTTTTCCATTCTTCTGCATAAAGGCTGCGCTCTTGGAATTTCCAGCATGACAATGACCCTAAGCACAAGGCCAAGTTGACCCTCCAGTGCTTACAGCAGAAAAAGGTGAAGGATTGACCATCACAGTCTCCTGATCTTAAAGGACCACTATAGTGCCAGGAAAACATACTCGTTTTCCTGGCACTATAGTGCCCTGAGGGCGCTGGGCGGGGAGCTCTCCTCCTCCGATCCTCCTCTTCTCCTCCCCGTCGGCTGAATGCGCACGCGCGGCAAGAGCTGCGCGCGCATTCAGCCGGTCACATAGGAAAGCATTCATAATGCTTTCCTATGGACGCTGGCGTGCTCTCACTGTGAAAATCACAGTGAGAAGCACGCAAGCGCCTCTAGTGGCTGTCAATGAGACAGCCACTAGAGGAAATAGGGGAAGGCTTAACCCATTCATAAACATAGCAGTTTCTCTGAAACTGCTATGTTTATGAAAAAATGGGTTAACCCTAGTTGGACCAGGCACCCAGACCACTTCATTAAGCTGAAGTGGTCTGGGTGCCTAGAGTGGTCCTTTAATATCATTAAGCCACTCTGGGGAGATCTCAAACGTGCGGTTCATGCAAGACGACCAAACTGCATGACGAGGAGGCATTTTGCAAAGACAAATGGACAGCTATACCACCTGCAAGAATTAGGGGCCTCATAGACAACTATTACAAAAGAGTTTGCGTTGTCATTGATGCTAAAGGAGGCAATACACAGTATTAAGAATTAAGGGTATGCAAACTTTTGAACATGGGTCATTTCATTTTTATTCCTTGTTGCCATGTTTTGTTTTATGATTGTGCCATTCTGTTAAAACCTACAGTTGAATCTAATTCCATAATAAATAGAAGAAATGTTTTTTGCCTGCTCACTCACGAAAAAATTGTACATATATTACCAATTCTCCAGGGGTATGCAAACTTTTAAGCACAACTGTATGATGTCTTTTTTATATGTGATGCTATATTTTAGATATTGTCCAGCATGTATTATATAATGAGTTTATTGCTATTTCATATTGTATTCTATTTGCTATGCTTTGTCCCTGATATTAATTTGTTGGATATATGTCATTGTTAATCAGCATCAGTATATTAATATGTATTACCTTTAAATTACAAATAATAATGTAGTAGTGTAATTTATCATTTTATAATATTGTTTATTCAGCATTGATTGGGTTTGAAAACTGGAATAAAAAATAGTATAGTGTGTATTAATCCCCTGGTTTATGAAGTTGGCCCTTTATATATTTAAGGGTTCATAATAATAAGGCGATAATGTAGGTATTATGTTTGTGATATAAGGTAACTGAAGAGTTAAATGGAATTCAATTTGGGTAGTACAGTTGGTTTATTTTCAAAATTTACATACTTTTAGCTGTTTGCAATGAACAAATCAAACAAAAGCAATTGTAATCGCTCAACACAACAAATGCTTCAAGGGTTTCCCCAAATTCAACTTCCAATGATGTCTAAAGTCTCAAAATTATCCCTCACAACAGCACAAATATGCAAAACAGGTGTCTCAAGCCCACCTGATGCAACCAGTCAAGGGCTTCATTAGTTACACCAGGTGTGATTGTGCTGAAACACGAAATACCTTAACTGGCTAGGGGTTTGTTGAGTGTCATGTTTGACTGCATGTTAGAAATATGGCTAAGTCAAAAGAATGGTCCATGTTAAGAGGAGTTTGAATCATTTTAAATAAATGTTATTACAACTTGGAAGGGAAGAGAGAAGGGGCTGTGCATTGCCATTATGTACTGGGCGAAGTGCAATAGTGACCTCATCATGCTGCGAGAGGGCGGAGTTGGGAGACCTGAAAACATTGTAAATGTGAACAGTAAAGGGAAGTAATTTCATTTAATTGTTTCCGCAAATACAGTGGTGCTGCACACATGTGAATTAATATTAGCTGCTACCTGGAGCACCATGAAAAGGATTCACAGTCCTTATAACACCAAACGTCAAAATTGACAAAAGTAAAAATCCATATGCTTCACAGTGCAGTGCAATTAATGGTGAGGTTTGTTAGATCAACGAACAGAACAAAATTAAAAAATTTTGGCCTTAAGCCTTAGTCATGTAATGCTTAATTGTTTGTGATTATTATGTCTCTTGTGATTTATGTAAAAATCACTTTAAGAAGGTGTTAATTTTTATATTTTTTTAAGCATATTTTTCGGGTATTGTTTTTATATATTCACTAAAGCTAGGGATACAACATACATATTTTTTTTAAGGAGATACCACATAAATATCTGTTCACTTTTTGTGTTTTAGACTTTTCCCTAACTCCATAATGACAACAGATGTACATTACACATCTGTTGTCATTATGCCCTTATGGACAAGCTATGTACACTGTATGTTTGCTGCAAGACTAGGCTGTTTATGAATGTCTCTGAAACTAGACTTTACAGGGTGTTGTGCTCAGGGGCAGTAGTAGATTACACATCGAGAGTCAGACAGTATTATCGGTACATGTCACAATCTCACCATATAATGTACTATTACTGGCAGCCACAATTCACAAATCAAGTTGTCATTTTAAGCAAATCGTATGCTGTAATATCATTAAGGAGCAATTAAAGACTTCTATTTGGTCCCCCCAAAAAAAGACGTGGGCCCAGTAAAGCACTTGTTGAAAATTGGAAATTTGGAAACGGAAATTGGTGTGTCTGTAATTTGACCCTGTCAACGTCTTAAAAATATGGCAAAAGTCTGCATATGAGGTATTGCTGTAGTCGGGTTTAGTGGGATTTTTAATATTCAAGACTGAGTGAATCAACTTCAAGTGACTTTTCTTTTAATATTGTATTCATACTTAATGTTAGTTATACATATAGAGTATCAAAAAGATATAACGTATAAAAGAAATCCTATCCGTCTTTATATCTAATATGCAAAGGTACAATTTAAGAGAAAGCATTAAATTATGGTGGAACAAACCCATAGCAAAAGTGCCAAAAGAGGATTCAGGCCCAAGCACTTGGATTCCCGGAAAGCCTTGGTTACTAAGGGGCTAAACTGCTCTTTAACCCCTTAAGGACTGGACTGTTTTTGCGATGTACATTTGCGACCAGGCATATTTTTACACTTTTGTGGTGTTTGTGTTTGGCTGTAATTTTCCGCTCTCTCACTTACTGTTCCCATACAAATTATATATTGTTTTTTTCAGGACAAAAGGGGCTTTCTTTACATACCATTATTTATATAATCTCTTGTATTTTAATTTAAAAGAAATATGAAAAATTGAAAAAAATACATGTTTTTTTACTTTTACTTGAAAAATGTTTACTCATCTACAAAAGCGAATGAAAAAAACTGCTAAATAGATTCAAAATGTTGTCCTGAGTTTAAAAATACCCAGTGTTTACGTGCTTTTTTGCTTTTTTTTTTTTTGCATGTTATAGGGCTATAGGTACAAGTAGGATATTGCGGTTTCAAAACATACATTTTTAAAATTTATCAATAGTGACATTGTAACACTATTATCTGTCATAAATCTCTGAATAACACCCCACATGTACATATTTTTTTTAAAGTAGACAACCCAGGGTATTCAATATGAGGTATGTCCAGTCTTTTTTAGTAGCCACTTAGTCGAAAACACTGGCCAAAGTAAGCATTCATAATTGTTTGTGTGTGAAAAAACAAAAAAAAACTAAATTGAACGCTAATTTTGGCCAGTGTTTGTGACTAAGTGGTTACTAAAAAAGACTGGACATACCCCATTTGCAATACCTTGGGTTGTCTTCTTTTGCAAATGGTATGCCATCATGGGGGTAATTCTCATTCCTGGGCTACCATACGCTCTCAAAGGCAACGTAACCAACCTGGCCATTTTCAATGTAAAATATTTGACCCATATATTTGACCTTGTAACTTTCAAAAATGCTATAAAACCTGTACATGGGGGGTACTGTTTTACTCGGGAGACATCGCTGAACACAAATATTAGTGTTTAAAAACTGGAAAACGTATCACAACAATTATATCATCAGTAAAAGTGCTGTTTGTGTGTGAAAAATGCAAAAAAAGTCACTTTCACTGACAATATCATCGCTGTGATATGTTTTACTATTTTGAATCACTAATATTTGTTTGTTTGTTTTTCAATTTTTATTATTATTTTAAAAAATTTAATTTAAATTACTTATTATTTATATTTTATAATATATATATTATATATATATATATATACACGTGTGTAATTTAATTATAAGTGTATTTTTATATTAATATAAGTACATATTAATATATAAATACACTTAGTATGACATTATATATATATGATATATAGACATATATTATATCAATATAATATATGTCTATATATATCATATATATATATATATATATATATATATATATATATATATATATATATATACACATATATAATTTTTTTTTATTAACACTAACTTTATTTTTTTTTAAAGATTTTACACTAGCAGGGAGACTGCCTGTCAGCACAGGTAGTCCCCCTGCAGGCAGACACATGGACACCTATTGTGACCATGTGATCGCTGTGTTAAGCGATCACATGGCCACAGGGGTCCTAATCCAGTGTGGGAAGACTGTCTGGGCTGCAGGCAGTCTCCCCACAACGGGAGCAACGCTGATCGCCGCTGCTGCCGGCGATCAGGTAAGTAGTTAGGACAGTTCAGGACCGTCAGCGGTCGGCAATGGGAAAATGCCGATGACGGTCCTGAACCATCCTCGGTCCTTAAGGGGTGAATTGTCAGAGATCCACCAGAAAATTGCACATTTTAAACCTAAAAAAAACAAGTCATATACATTTCTAAGTCCGCTATTTTGCTTTCATTTGCAATTCCCACGTGAGCTCTCCACAATTCTCAATTTAGTGAATTTTTTTATGAACTCATCCTGATAGATAAACATATATATGGCTTGTGTGTATTGCACTGTTTTGTTAAGGCATAATGGAGCCACAGTTTTAAGTACTTATGTTTGTCAATAACATATATGACTATGCAACTGAAATGTATGATTTTGAAATGCCATGTACTGCAATGCCCGGTTGTGACATGCTGATTCAGTCTGTAATGTATGATGATCAGTTCTGTTAAGAGAAAGACCCTGGCAAGCCTAAGGGGCATTGCATTTTCAGCAATGGAATGTAAATATAATTTACTAATGTCTTTACACGGACAAGAAAATAAAGTGCAGGTTTAACTGCTTAAAATATATTCCCTCAAATTACAAGTATATTGTTGAGTTACCTAGTAATTTCCAGCTAATGCCAGTGCTCTGTCCAATGGCTAGAGGGCATATATAATGTGTGTGTACTGCGCTATTTCCATAGTCTGTCTTCTTCCAAACCCACCACCTAGGGCCGTCTTTAACGCGGGGCAAACAGGGCAGCTGCAACATGGACCCCGCGATTTGCGCAGCCCCCATGGACCAGGCGATGCAGCCGCACCAGCCCGCACACTAAGGAGGCCCCCGGGTGGCTCATGCACTAAGGGGCACCCGATGGGCATGTGTCAGCAGGGGCCCGGACGGGCGCTGTGGCGCTTAACCAGAGAACGTGCCGAGCGTTATATACCTCCCACCGGAGATCAGAGCCACGCGGTAGGAGGAAGGCAGGGAGGAGGGGAGTTCCAGACGATAACTCCCAACTGCCACTGGACCCCAGGGAAACTACCCTCCAGAAAAAGGTAAGAACCTTGGCGGTGGCTAAATGTATGTCTGTGTATGTCAGTATGTGTGTGTGTCTGTCTGTGTGTGTGTGTGTGTTTGTCAGCATGTCTTTGTGTGTCAATACGGTTGTCTGTGTGTGTTTCAGTATGTCTGTCAGTGTATGTGCCTGTGTGTTTATGTATGTGTGTCTTTCAGTATGTCTGAATGTGTGTCAGTATGTATCTGCAAATGTTTTAATACGTCTGCCTGTCTGTGTCCTGCCACCACCAATTCATTGGTCTTCGATCCATGAGCCTGGTGGATTATCTTCATTTTTTTCATATTTAAGGTTTTTATTGACATTTTTTTCAGAGGGATGGGGTGGGGTACAGAAAGAAGAAAGGAGGGGTAGGGACCGGGTTGTCAGGATTAACAATGATACATCTCGTCATAAAATACAGCGTGAAATCATTCTTTAATACATGCTGCGCTATGAAAAACATAGAGTGCTGAATACATAATACAGAGTGCAGAATGCTTGGGGTACAATGTGCACGTACCAATGCGTGTCACCTTAGTTCGAATCCGAGTCAGTAGATGTTGGGTTTTTTAGCAGGCTGCACTGGTGGGATGAGGAGGAAGGGTTCGTGGGTTGCCCCTCCCAATACTCTACCCACGGCGCCCAAGTTGCTAGGAGGCGCACTTTAAGTGCCGCAGTTTGGATGGATAAACACTCGTGGGTGTAGTATTGGTGGATTTTGGCCATTAGGAGAGTCTTAGAGGGGCAGCGTGGTAGCTTCCAGTGAGTTGCTATTAGATTTCTCACTGCCAGTGCTATGAGTGCCATGATAACTTTAACCTTTTTTGTTAGGAGTTTGGGGTATGACAGAAATATACCTGTGTGTATGTCTAGGGGTGGTGTGGCGATGCCTATGGTTCGCAGTATAGTTTGCGCCTCTTGCCACAGCGGGCGGATGCGTGGACATGACCACCAAATGTGTGTCATCGTTCCACTCTCCGTCCCACATCGCCAGCAGTATGGGGGCACCGTTTTATACATTTGATGAAGCCGTTGGGGAGTTAGGTACCACCTGTACACCAGTTTTTTGTGTGCTTCGAAGTGGGAGTAACATTGCGTTAGTCCTTTGAGTGCATTAAGAGACGCTAGTATTTCCCTGCTGGAGATCGTTGTGCACTCCTTTAGCCATTGTGACACAAATATGGGGGGTGGGGTTGGTGAGGTTCGTAAAAGGACTTTGTAGCAAGAGGCAAGGGATTTGGGTTTGGTTGGGGCTCTCCAGCACCTGTCATATAGGGTCTCCAAATCTCGTAGATCTGGATTGTGTGTTGTAGCTGTATGGGAGACATGAGTGGGTAGGATGCTCTTGAGCTGCATGTATTGAAACACTGAGGAGTTTGGTAGGTGAAATTCCCTTTGTAAGTCTGGAAAGGGTTTGATGCGGTTCAGCTGGAGGACCTGGTCGAGTGTGGTTATTCCCAGTTTAACCCATGAGTTCAGTGAGAGCCAGGGTGATAACGCTTTCAGGGCTGTCAGCGGGGAACGTGGGTGGTATTTGTGGGGTGCAGTTTGTTTCTGGCGTAACATGTCCCAGTGGTGTAGGGTTAGCGTGGTGGTTGGGAGGAGTGTTGTGTTTTTGGGGCGTAGAGGCTTAGGTGTCCAGAACATATTTACTAGGGATGTGCTATTGAGTTGATCCACTTCCATGTCTACCCACTGGTAGACCCCTTTTGAGGTGTGTATTTTTTACTGCCGCTTCCAAGACGGCCGCTTTGTAATATGTGTATATATCGGGTAGGCCTACTCCCCCATCCGTCTGGTGGTTCTGGAGGATGTGTTGAGAAATCCTGGGTCTATGGGCGTCCCATATGTAGGAGGACAGCACTTTTTGGAGTGATTTAAAAAACCTTGGTGGAGCCTGTAGGTGTAGGAGGCGGAAAACGTACAGCAGTTTGGGAAGGAGGACCATTTTTACTGTGTTGATTCTGCCTAGCCACGATAGCTTGACTGGTTTCCACTTTAGGCACTCAGATTTGCATAGGTTGAGGAGTGGTTTATAATTGTATTGGTATAGTTGTTCAGTTGTGGACGCGATTTTGACCCCGAGGTAGGTGATGTGGTCAGACCTCCAGTCAAAATCATGTATGGTTTTAAGGCCCTGCACTGAGTCTTTAGTAAGGCTTATGGGTAGAGCTTGGGTTTTATTTTGGTTTAGTTTATAGTATGTCAGGTCGCCATAGCGTTTTAGGAGCAGCATCAAGGCGGGTAGGGACGAGGGCACGTCACTCAATGTTAAGAGAATGTCGTCAGCAAACATGGACAATTTGTACTCGGATTTGCCCACTACCATGCCCTTAATTTCGGGTTGGTGTCTGATTATCTGCGCTAGCGGTTCTAGGGAAAGGACAAATAATAATGGGGACAAAGGGCACCCCTGGCGTGTGCCGTTGGTTATTTTGAATGGGATGGAGAGAAAGCCAGCGTTGGATACCTGAGCCGTTGGGGCGTTGTACAATGCCATAATGCCCAGGATCATGGGTGTTGTAAAGCCAAACGCCCTTAAGACCTGTTGCATGTAGTCCCAATTGAGCCTGTCAAAGGCCTTCTCCGCATCTAACGCTAAGAGAAGGCCCTTTCCCCCAGCGCTATGTGTGTGGGATAGGATGTTTAAGATTTTCCTTGTGTTATCCGAGCCCTGTCTCGTTTTGACAAAGCCTGATTGATCATTGTGTATTAATGTAGGGAGGATAGTAGACAACCGGTTGGCTAGAAGTTTAGCATATAGTTTAACGTTTACGTTCAGTAAAGATATGGGTCTAAAATTTTGGCACTGTGTTTGAGGTTTGCCTGGTTTTGGGAGGGTGGAGATATGGGCTTTTAACATTTCGGAGGGTAGGGCCCCTTGTGAGTAGCATTGGTTGAAGAGTGTGGATATGTGTGGCGATAGGATGGGGGCAAAGGTCTGGTAGTAGAAGTTGGTGTAGCCATCTGGGCCTGGTGCTTTGTGTTTAGGAAGCTGCTTGATTGTAGCATCTACCTCTTGAGTGGTAAACGGTGCAGTGAGGGAAGATATGTCTTCCTGGGATAATTTGGGTAAGTCAGATTGTGCTAGAAAGTTGAGAATGTCTTGCGTGGATGGTGGTGTGATCTTGGGGTCTTCTCTAAGGTTATAGAGTTTGCTATAGTACTCTGCAAATGCGTCAACTATGTTTTGAGGGTTTGTGAGTTTCTGTTTTGTAGCCGTGACGATATATGCTATTCTGGAGTGGGCCGTGCGTGCTTTAAGTCTTGCAGCTAATAGGGCACCCGCCCTGTTCCCTTGTGAGAAGAAATTATGTTTATAACGTTGGAGTATGTGAGTGGTTTTGGCTTGCTCCAGGGAACCCAGTTTGGTGTGTAGAACGGACAGCTCTTGACGCAGTATTGGCGAGGGGTGTGTTTTATTTTTATGTGTAAGATCAGTTATCCGGGCAATTAGGTCGGAGTAGTCTTTGAGTCTTTGCTTTTTAGCGTGGCTACCCGCTCTAATCAGAAGACCCCTTATTACTGCCTTGTGTGCCAGCCAGACAGTAGTCACGTCTACGTCGGGGGTTAGGTTCGTTTTGAAGTAGTCGGTGAGGTCTACTCTGAGTTGGTCCACAATTTTAGGGTCCCTCAACAGGGAGTCATTCAGTCTCCATGTTCCTCTGCCCACAGCAGAGCAGGCCTCCCGTAAGGTTAGGGTTATTGGGGCATGGTCCGACCAAGTTACCAGACCTATGTCTGTTGTCTGAACTGCCTGCATCAACGTTGTCGGAATTAAGAACCTGTCGATTCTAGTGTATGTGTTGTGGGCTAACGAGTGAAAGGTATAATCCCGCTCTAGCGGGTGGAGGACTCTCCAAGGGTCTAAAAGGTTGTGCTGGAGAATCTGGTTGCAGAGCAACGACGAGATTTTGTGCGACTTACGTGCGGATGTGTTGGTCAGCCTAGCAGTAGATGTGGAGTCTAGAGAGCTATCAAGGAGGAAATTAGTGTCTCCACCAATGACCAAAGTTCCAAATCTGTGTGCACTCGCTAGGGCGAGGATTTTGTCTGTGAATTCCGTCTGATTGGTGTGTGGGCCATAAATGTTGATAAGCGTGTACGGTGTATTGTTTATATAGCATTGGAGTAGCAAAAATCTCCCATGCTTGTCTCCTGTTTTCTTAAGTAATGAGAAAGCTACTCCTTTCCCTATCAAGATGGACACTCCCCGCTTGTTTTTTTTGTAGCATGAGTGAAAATCATGAGGGAATGCATTGGAGCAGAATTTGGGACGTGCACCCCATTTGAAATGGGTCTCTTGGTAGAAGGCAATTTGGGCTTTGTGTTTTTTTGCTTCTTCAAGTGCCAGTCTACGCTTGTGTGGCGAGTTGAGGCCTTTCGTGTTCAGGGATAGAATCTTGAGTGTCATGGTGGGAGGGGGGCGGTTGCTGTTTCAACCAGTGGCAGGACTAGGTCCATCAGTTGAGGGGGTTTGGCGCTCTTGTTAGGGTGTCCTGTTTGGATAGTGTGCGTTTGCAGACGTGGCGAGGGAACCATGCCTCCCAAAATGTCAACAGAGCTTGTTAATAACACGTTATATGGTCGTTGTGCTTTCCTGACAACGTGTATACATTGTTTAGGGAGAAGAGGGTGGGAGGGGGGAAACAGAAACATAGCAAATGTTGAAACAGGTGATTATAGAGAACTATGTACAAAAAAACGCCGGTTGGAGCGCCCTGGGGCATAGGCGGTGTTGAGTGGGGTGGTGGGAGTTGGCAGGTCTTACCACCCTGATGAGCTAAGTAAAGAGGGGTAACCTCAATTCCGTTCACCATGTTATACCCGTGGGGGATCTCATCTTAATTGAGAGGGTAGTATTGAATCCGGGTGGGACAGTAGAGGGCGATCCCATCGGTTCCGTGCCTTTAGCCAACACAGTGCTCAATGAGGATGGTGGGCGTGGTAGCATGTGGACTGTATCCTACAACGTGAGAGCATGATGCCCAATTGCTTGTCTGAGGTGCCACCTACTGAGACCGCCCAGCCACCACCCACCGCGCGCGTGCCACAGAGGAGGTTAGCTAGGCAATCCCAGGCTCATGTTGGTGTGTAATGACAATGCGTCCGCCATTGTAGCGGTGTCAGTGTCAGGCAAGTGCGTCTTGCGGAAGTGGGGGCGGAGCATTATGTATGCAAACAGTACAGCAGACATTAAATTTCAATGGGACATAGAGATTGTATAGTACACTGTTTGCTATAACCGGTGCGTCACTGCCATGGCCGGGCCCAGGTCTAAGGCCCGGGCATGGCAGCAAGGCTCAGCCTCAGCGGCCGATCACCTAATAAGTGTATGTGCGGCATAGGCAAGGTGGAAAAACAGTACTAAGCGTGGCGTTGAGCCCAAGAGAGGGAAAAAAAAAAAAATATATAGTCCATGACCCTGATGGGTGAGTGTGTTAGGCTAGTGTGCCCCGCTATGTTAGAAAACAGAGTGTCAGTTCGTTTCACTTATCTGTAGACATCACGTTCCAATCTGTCGGGATCTTTCTCGGTGACCGTGATCTTTGCGGCTTCATCTGGGCATTCTGCTGGGGAGGTTGCGATGGGGTGATGCCCCATTCTTTCAGGAGCGTAAGTCCTTCGTCTGTCGAGGTGATATGGCGGTCAACGCCATTGCGGCGGATGGTTATGCGGGTTGGGAATCCCCATCTGTAGGGGACATTGGCGTCCCTCAAAGATTTGGTGATGCAGGCCAGCTCTTTTCGCTTCAGCAGGGTTGCAGCAGAAAGGTCGGTGAAAAGGTGGACGCTTGCAAATTCTTCCGGTATAGCCTTGGAGGTCCTTGCAGCCCTCATTACTTTGTCTTTGCTGGTGTAGTAATGGAGCTTCGCTATGGTGTCCCTCGGGATTGAGGCTGGGAGAGATTTAGGCTTCGGTAAGCGATGTATGCGGTCGATGAGGCATTCTTGTTGTGTCAGGCCAGGAACCAAGGCCTGGAAGAGGCGTACAGCATAGGTTTGAAGGTCTTGTGGGAGAACCTCTTCAGGGATGCCGCGGAGGCGTATATTACTGCGCCTATCCCTGTCCTCATGATCCGCGACCTTACCCGCGAGGTAGTCCAGTTTGTCTCTCAATTCAGTGTAGGCATCTGCCAGGGTGTTGTGGGCAGAGATAACCTCATCTGTCTTGTCCTCGAGGTGCGCTGTCCTGTCTCCAAGCGCTTGGATTTCCGTTTTGATGTCGCGCGACATTTTCATCATGTCGGCCTGAAGAGATGTCTGCAGAGCTTGCAACATTTTGTGGATGGAGAGGTCGGTTGCAGGTGTCTCCGCTGGTTCCGATATACAGGTGAGGTCGCTGCGGTCTGAGTACGCGGATGGCGAGTGCGGCGTGTCGGCGCCATCTTGGGCCTGTGCTCGTGGCGGTGTCAGCGCCGAAACCAGCAACGCGGGCTGTTTATGCTTCAGCTTCTTGGCTGATTTAGATGCCATGGTGGTCACGGGCATCGATGTCTGTCTGTGTGGGGTTTAGGTTACCCACTGCTTCTCTATTCGCTGTGCAGGGTTGGTGTCGCACGGAGCTAACCGCTCATGCGACCGTCTTGGTGAGCCGTCAAGCCACGCCCCGGATTATCTTCATTTTTATCATAAGAATAGGTCTTTGAAAATTAGTCTTCATGTATTTTTCTGCCCAATGCAGCCGTTTCTGCTTGTTAGCATTGGTTAGGGGTGGCCGAATAGAAGGTTTATGCACAGTTGCAAGACTCTGGAGGACTCTACACCTTGATGTCAGGGGGACTCCAGAGGCACCAGCAGCTTCAAATATCTGTTTGCTGCTATGTAATGGTATTTTAGCAGCTGCTCTCTTGATCCGATGCATGGATCTGGCAGGAATCTTCCTCAATGTGCCTTTATCTGCACGAACCCGTCTGTGCTCTGAATCGGCCACAAATCTCTTAATAGTGCAATGATCACGCTTAAGTTTTCGTGAAATATCTAATGTTTTCATACCTCATCCCAAATTTGTCACCAAACATATGCTGCTGCAGAGCTTAATGCCTGGGTAGTTCATATTGTGTATAAAACACAGACTGACTATTATACACATATACAAACACAAGTGGGTGTGTCCGGCAGCCGACGAAGATGGACGCCTAATCTCGGAGCTCCTCGTGACGCCCGCAAACAACACCAGCAAACGCTTACCCGTCTCACCCACACACCACAAATGGGCCGCACAAAACAGCAGGCAGACCTTGGAAGCACCTATAGTTACCCTTGATAAAGGCTACCAGGAGGAGCCAAAACGTTGGGGGACTGTTTGTGACTCGTGTTTCTGCCCATATAGGCTTGTGAAATTTGGTAAATATATGGTTTAGCCTTTTTTTGCCTATTTGGTCACTGTTATATTGTTGCATTTTTTGCATGCATGATTTGGATTTGTATTGCAATAAAATAGATAGATTCTATTGTATCAGTTGGTGTGCATTCCTTTTCTTTTTGAATATTTAGTTTATTGGTATTGGAGGGAGTACCTTGTTGGAATAGCACCCTTAATTGTGGTGGTAATTATACTAAGTGTCTCTCCACATGTTATATTTTGTAAGACCTTGGAAGCACCCCACGATCTTCGGGACACGCAGGGGAGCACTTGATCCGGTCTTACCTCCGCAGCACGGCCCGCGCACAGTCCCCTCAACGGGAAATGGAGGCCGCAAGGATGTCCCCGTAATCTCCCCCATCCACACCCGCCAGGTTCTCGCCGGCACCATCCCTCGCATCAGAACCCCAGCAACCACCAGTGAGTGGCGGGATATCCTCCCTAACTTACTGACAAAATCAGACTTTGAGGCCCTCTCAGATCGCCTGGGCCGCGTGGTAAGGGCACAACTACGTGCTGACATAGCGAACATAGAGGCCCGCATGTCGTTGACGGAGACGGCTACATGCTGACATGGTGAACATAGAGGCCCACATGTCGTTGACGGAGACAAGGGCTCTCAGGACGGACCTGGAACAGACTACCACAAATGTCACAACGCAAGAGGCAAACATGCTATACCTCACAACATGGATAGATGACCTGGACAACCGCGGGTGCAGACTGAATCTACGCGTCCGCAGGGCAAGGGAGAGAATGTGCCAAAGCGGCTGAGACACCTACTCACTCAGCGTAGGCAACTACCCGCACAGGTGAAGACATGTTAGATACCTGACACAAATTGACTCTAATAAAAATTTATTCAAAGCAAACAACACACTGCTAAAACTATATCTACTTGCTGTATAACCAATGACCTAATAACCAGGCCTCTGCGCAGGCAACAGCACGCATAAGTACAAATGTAATGTCAACTGTGCCTCTGCGCAGGCACCAACCCGCTTAAAAACAAATACGTTGCATTGAAATTTATGTTGTGAATCCAATTAACATATTTAAAACAAACACAAATTGAAAGTGACTAATAACTGTATATTGATATTCATATTTACTTATATAGTGTATATACATTTAAATGCTGATATAGTCATGCACATGTATATTGACACACCAACATGATTTGTCCTGTTTATGCTAATATGAGCACACGTGCGTGCCTTTACATGGACAGATAAACAAATTCAGAATGACACATAAGACAGACTATTTAAAATGGTTCTGTATTCTAGAGAAAACTGCCCTGTTTTGATCTGGATACTTCTGGTTTAATCTATTTTTAGATCATATTAGATTATCCACTTGCGATTTCTTTTTTTTTTTTTTTTTTCTTGAAACCAGTGGAATTTTATTAAATTCAGAGGTGAATTTTCCATGAATGTTCACTCATTTACTAAACTGTGAATGTTCTAATTTGTAGTCTCTAATGCTCCTTAAACAAATCAGGTTCTCCTTTCTCTTATACAAATGTTCTTGTTCTTTATTTTTAACATTATGCAGCAGGTTTACATTCATATGCTTTGCTCACTCCATACCTGTTATACCAGGCTCACGTAGGTCTTTGATTTCGGTCACCTAGTTCTGTTAAAGGGACCATATAGGCACCCGGACCACTTCAGCTAATTGAATGTCCCTGTCCCCCTTAGTCCTGCAATGTAAAACATTGCAGTTGAGAAACTACAATGTTTGCATTGCAGTACTAAGACTGCCTCTATGGCTTTGACTGGATTCTGGGTCCCTTAAATTACATCCTTACGCACTGCATCAGTACAACCAGCGTCCATGAAATCCCTATAGGAAAGCATCGAGGCATTGAATGGAGACCACATAGTAGAGCTCTGGGTATATAACCCTGTGTTTTTCCTCAGTAAAACCAGTTGTATTACCCTTCATCAAGTCTCGACTGACATTTGGGTATGCAAAAGCTTGACTGCTGACCCATATCCCTCCCATCGTTGCCCCAATAACACACTGGACACCTTTTTAAAGTGGATAAGGGCAACGGCCACCGCTTTATTAAACATAGTATATTCTTGATTCCTGTTAGCTGTTGGGTGAGAGCCCAACAGACAGTTCTCCATACTTAATCTCCAAGAGCCCAACACAGCCATCACTAGCCATCAGTCTTGCGCCGACTGTTGTCTCCCCACATCAGCCTTGCTCCGACTGTTGTCTCCCCAAGGTGACCTTTCATCATACTCCTTCCTTTTGCTTACGCTGTCCAGGGAAAACTGACAGCTGTGACAATAAGAAAACACAAAGAGAAAGCAAACCACACACCACCACAAAAAAAAAAAACAAGGAGGGAGAGTGGAAAATTCAGTCAGGGGCTTTGAACCACTCCTGCTGACTGGTAAGTCCCCTCCCATGCTCTCCTATTTTAACTCTTGCAACATTGTTGCTCCTTACCTCCAGCCCACCATCCTGGGCAGCAGTCATGTTCCCCCTTCCCTATTTGTCCAGTTGGATACTTGCCTGCTGACCCATATCCATCCCATTTAAAGTGGATAAGGGCAACGACCACAGCTTTACTAAACATAGTAAATTCTTGATTCCTGTCAGCTGTTGGGTGAGAGCCCAACAGACGGTTCTCCATACTTAATCTCCAAGAGTCCAACACAGCTGTCACTAGCCATCAGCCTTGCGCCGACTGTAGTCTCCCCAAGGTGACCTTTGGTCCTACGCCTTCCTTTTGCTTACGCTGTCCGTCGCAAAGCCGCCCTGCTGCAGCCTGTACTTCACCGGCTTCGTGCCCCCCTGCAGACAGCACTGCTTCAATGCCTGATTGCAACCCAACATTAAATATGTCCAACCCAATTGGTGTTAAGTGGACCCCATCCCTGCGCATAACATTCGAGTTCTCCCCCTCCAGCTCAGTGTCGTATGACTATTCCGCCAAGACTCCGCACAAAGCGCGAAATGGCCACGTTAATCTTCCGCCTACACCGTTCCAGCGCCTTTCCATAGCCTCCTATGCTCCATACCGGGCGAGGCACTATTCTGTCCAGATTGACGTTAGGTCATGAAACAGCGCGCTATATCATCGTGTGAATGAGATCAACCAACCTCCGGCGACCGACATCATTGCCACCTACATGCAAGATTAATGTAACTGGCCCAGACACGCAGCGACTCAGCTGCTTGCACTCCCTGTACATCTGATCCCAACGTAACCCCCGCCAATGTACCCTAATCTCCTGATATAGGAACCCCAAATTACGACCATGAACTCTCTCCTCCACCCTCCTAGCTGCCCAGTACACGTATGAATGCCCCAGAATCCACACATTGCAGGGAACATGGCCTACGGAACAAAGAACAGAAGTTAAACATCGCAATTATCCAAATACAGAACATCACAGTAAATGCACATATAGCTGAAAGTGACCCGATTCCCATCGCCCCAGCCACTTAAGCCCCAACACGCTGGTCTGGGTCGCCACTCCAATCCGAAACTGAGTGGAATAGAGACTAGGGTCCCCACCCGACCTGACAATACACCGCTGCAGTATGCTACAAAATTGAAATCTACTCAAGGACGACCCATTCCGATGGACCAGCAGCGTGTCTTTTGCTCCACCCCTGGCGACTAAATATTCCTGCAACAAGTGCCCTGGACAAAACAAACCCGAAGGCCGATCCGTACCCGTGCTCCTGTACCCACCTAATCCGTCTTTGAACGTTGAATCACCAGTAGCATGCCCCGAAAGGATACATAGACGTCGGAAACCCACAACGCTGCCTCGAAACTCTCTCTAGGGGCTACCAGTTCCCCAATCCGAAGAGCCCTGAAAAAACATAACGAAAACGCAACCCGAAATAAAAGAACCTCATAATCAGAGCTACACACCTCCGGAGGACTTTCAACAAGCGCAGCAGCAGAGCTCCCGAAATAGGTCGTCGCTTGTCAGGGGCGTGTCCCTTTTTCCACCCTTTCAAGATGCTTGAAATGCAAAACGCCTTAGTGACATCTGACTGTCCTACAAAACAAAAAAGAGAGAGCAGACAAGCACTGTTTGGCTAACGGGGCAGACCGCCTCCCGAAACCGGATGGCATTGTCTATGCCCGGCACATGCCTGGCTACCAACGACAGATTACATTTGAGACTAAATAGCACTACACGCCTGAGCAATGCTAAAACCGGGGGAACGATTGATCACCTGGACAACACTCATGTTGTCCGTGTGAACAACCACCTTTCTGTTCGCAAAGTCAGCACCCCATAACTCGACAGCGACGGGGAACAATTCCAGGAATGCCAGATTACCCATCAGCTCCAAGCCCTGCCATCCTGAAGGCCACTCGGCAGTGCACCAGCGCCCCTGGAAATAAGCCCCACACCCCACTGACCCTGATGCATTTGTAGACATCCATCTCGCCGTTAGACAACTCTGCACACAACCAACACGATTGACCATTATACTCGCCTAAGAAGGCACTCCACACCGGTAGATCTGACCTTAGACACCTCATAATACGTATAAAGTGGAACGGTTGTTTCACCCTGACCGTGGCAAGGTACAGTTGACGAAAGAACCCTGCAAGCGAAGTTCAAGTGTCCATTAAAGCGATTGCATCTTCTGCAACTGCTCCTTTTTTGAGCCTCTGACCAGGTCGTCCAAGCAGAGCAAATGTCCCAGCTTCTCCTCCGGTAACCAAAAGACCATCTCACTAGAATCTCGATTCCCAGACAAGATAACCTAACCACCAGCCCAACCATCTTACCTACTGGTACCGGGACTCCGAACTCCGCCGTGATCTGCCAAAACACCGTCAACAAAATCGCACAGCCTTCCGAATCCCGTGGAGCGTCGAACAGAAAATCGTCCAGGTAGTGGGTCAAGGAGGACGAACCCGACACCTGGGACACCACCCATTCCAAGAATGTCAAAAACATCTCAAAATACGAGCAGGAAATAGCACAGCCCCATGGGCAAGCACATATAAAAATATGACCCCGTAAACTGACAGCCCAGTAGGTGAAAATAGTCAAGGTGCACTGGAAGCAAACAAAACTCTGACTAGATGTCCGACTTAGCTAGCAACGCCCCAAAACCAGCCTTCCTTACCAATTCCAGAGCCCTGTCAAACGAGGCATGATGAACCCTCGACACCTGCCTATCGATATCATCATTCACCGACCCGCCGGATGGGTAGGACAGGTGGTGAATGAGGCTCCAGGCTCTCTTTTGACACCAAGCACAGGGGGAACACCGGAGTCCTCCTGTCTAGAAACGTCATCTTTGGCGTCCCGTAACCCCGGCTTACCTTTTTTGAAGCCGTGCAGGGCTGGATGCGCTCGCCCGCAGTGCGAACACTCATGCCTAAATCTGCATGAACTGTACCACCTGCAGTGGCTCTCATTAAAGGGCCACAGACTCCCCTCCGCTCACCTGCTAGCGCGCCGGTTCCTGGAAAGGGGGATGGCCAACAGAGCATAATCAACAGCAGCCACGAGCTGCCATCCTGCACCCCGAAGTCCATGCCCTCACTAGCCGCCATCTTCTGTCGAAACTGCTGGTTGTACCAGAACCAGCATTGTCCGCCATAGTTCTTGTATGCCCCTCAGATCAGACCCAGGTAACCGAACAAGGCAGGGATCAGTCCGGAAAACTACTTGTTAAAATAGTAGCGAACACCGAAGAACCCTGAAGCTGCTAGATTGAAGGCACACTATAGTGTCATACTTACCGATCAGCGATTCCCACGAAAATACTTCCGGGTTTCGCCGGTCATGTTCCGCCCATGGGTCTGATGTCAGACACAACCGCAATAGAGGGAAGCGACGGCAGATTTGAAATCGCTCCGTTAATTTGTAGCTAAGAGATACAACGTTCCTATCTTAACTCACTGCAATACTTACACAAGTACCGAACCCTGCCAGTTGGAAACTGACTGTTGACTTCTCTGATCAAGATAAGTGAATTAAATATTATCTACACTACAAGATTTCCTGCAAGAATGTTAACCCTTTACTTGCCTGCAGACTAAAGCTCTCTTCTGATTAACTATCTTTTGCGGCTAACAACCAACCTACCAATTTTGTCCTCTACAAATCACCTATTCCTTTTTTGCATTATTCTGACTACTTCATTTTTTTTAATTACTACAAATTGTGCTTCTTTTTGTGAAGGAATACAGTTTTTGTTGTTTTTTCATTTATTGCAAGTTTCGCTGAAAAGTCTCCTACAAGATTTTATCAAAGTAAGCCGTTTTCTATTTATTTGTGCTTAAAGTGACAGTGCATCTTTAATTTTATTCTGCATTTGTGTTCCATGAAAATAAAATTTCTGAATATTACATATAGTCATCAGAGCATCTACAGATTATTGTAGTTGTTCTGCTGAGTATAGTCTGTCCCTGCATTTTTGTAATGTAAGCATTGCCTTTTCATAGAAATGGCAGTGTTTACATTACTGCTTAGTAACACCCCTAGTGACCACGCTTTGCATGAAGGCGCTGAAATTTCCCCAAGATATTGGGGAATCCTTTCCACTTCTGGAATGGACCAAAGCTACACTCCTAGTTAAGCGCTGTATACATAGCGTCTCTCCCTATGAAACACATTTAAAGATAATATATAGGTGGTATATGGTACCGGCTAGACTATATAAAATATCATCTGTACATTCTAAGAATTGTTGGAGATGTGGAAATGAGGAGGGCACTATTTATCATATATGGTGGGAGTGTCAGGGTCTTGATAATATAAAAATTCAAATGCTTGGCCTTATTCATTCTATTTTTAAGACGATAAAAGAAATTAGCCCTCAACTTTTTCTCTTTAACATTGGTTTCCCTTCGCAAGATAAAAATCAAAAATATCTTTTGACCCATATATTTTTTGCCATTAAAATATGTATAGCTAGGGCTTGGAAATCTTCTATCCCATTAATATGGCACAATATTATGGAGCAAATAGATTATCAGTACAGGATGGAATCAAACCCCTTTTTTGGCACTAGAGATGTGGCCAAACTATGGTTACCCTGGACAAATAGACAGAATTTATGATAACAGATTGTGGTTCCCCCCATATCGAGTCTCAGAGAATGTAATTTATTTGTATTATATATATATATATATTTTTTTTTATTATTATTATTCTATTTATTTATCTATTTGTATGTTTATCAATGTGACAGCTATACCATGGAAATTTTTGGTGTTAATTCCTTTTGATAGCGATTGGCAGTGGACAAATGTAGCGTGATTGCAGTCAGTGTTTAATTTTACACAGTGCCTATATTACAATATATTGCCAGCTTATCTATGCTTTTAGCAGTTACATTGATGGGTTTTTTTTTCTTTTCTGTTTGCTTGTCTAATTTTTGTTGTGTTTTTTTAACATTTATCTCTGTATCTGGTTGTCTTAATGTGCTGGAGCATTGCCTTTGGGGTACCTCACATGCAAATGTTAAAAATTTCATATTATAATAAAAAAATAAAAAAATAAATGGCAGTGTTTACATTACTGCTTAGTAACACCCCTAGTGATCACGCTTTGCATAAAGGCGCTGAAATTTCCCCATAGAGAAGCATTGAGTCAATGCATCTCTGTGAGGAGATGCTGATTGGCACAGAGCTGTGTTTTGCCGCACGTGAGCGACAGCCACCAAATGCTTTCCTATGGGAAAGCATTGGATTGGCTGAGATCATCAAATTTGTACCTGCTGTTATCTTGCATGTGGCTTTATTTATTTATTTATTTATTTTCATGAATGGAGAAACAATCCTGAGATGTACATGGAAAAATAGAGGTTGTTGAGCTTATCTCAATTTGTGAATATGATCAGTTACTGGTTGTAGATGCGCCAAAAAGTAACATAGTAAAGAGTAAAATGTATTGTCGTGAATTCGGGGCAAAAATGTAATTATGCGCAGAATCGAATGTTGTGAGAGGCTATTTTCTATTAATTTTCCACGTCTACACATTTTCTCCGAAATATTCTTTATACATTGCCCTAAATATTTTTTTAATTGATTTATTTTATTTATTAAAGATATTTTACCAGGATGGATACATTGAGATTTCTCTCGTTTTCAAGTATGTCCTGGGTCTACAAAACATTGCATTGTTTAGGATACAATATTACAAAAATATACACACATATATAAATTTAATACATAACTGGTAATAAATATATACAACCATGACGGGTGCTTTCTGTGCTGAGGTATATTGCCATAGATCTCTTAAAAGATTTTAGATTGAATGAAGATTTGACTGTGTCCCTGAGGTTATTCCATAATTATGGTGCTCTATTGGAAAAGGAGGATCGAGCCACTTTATTTTTGTATTGTGGTATGCCAAATATCGTGCTAGTACTGGATCGGAGGTTATAGGAGGTGGGAACAGCTGGGGAGAGCATTCTACTGAGGTAGGGTGGGAGCTTCCCAGAAATGCTCTTATGCACAAGGCTGGAGAGATGAAGTGCGTTGGGATTCCAGCGACAGACAGTTTAGCTCTTTTAACATGTCACAGTGGTGGGTAAAGTAATTACATTCTAGTACAAAGCAGCAGAACAAATTATATAATGTATTCAGTTTATTAAGGTGGGTTTGCGGTGCGGGTGCATACACTACATCCCCATAATCAATGACCGGCATTAGCATTTGTTGCACTATCTGTTTCCTTACTGTAGGGCTTAGGCAGGATTTGTTTCTACACCTAGTTTTGTGTAAAGTTTTGAAGAGATTTTTTTCAATGTGAAGGTCACAGTATAGATTGGGGTCTAGCAACATCCCTAGATATTTAAAAGAGCAGACTGCTGTCAGTGTGCTATATGAATTTGTTCTGATACACAGTTGTTGATTTTGTAGTTTATGTAATTTAGGTACAGTTCCAAAGATCATTGTAACAGTTGTGTCAGTGTTTAGGAAGAGTTTGTTATCTGCTATCCACTTTTCTACCTCTGTGAATTGGTTTTGGAGCACAGCCTCAAGCTGCGGTAGCTTGGGTTTACTAGCGTAGATAACAGTGTCGTCTGCATACATGTGTACAGTTGAGGATTTGCAGACGTTAGGCACATCATTTATAAATAATGTGAATAGCAGGGGGCCGAGTATGGAGCCTTGGGGAACACCACACGTGACTGGAAGAGGGAGGGAAGCGCTGTCAGAAATGGCCACATATTAGAATCCGTTTGAAACATACGATCGAAACCAGGTTAGTGGACGATCACCAATGCCTGAGTTTTTAAGTTTTTGCAAAAGAATGCCATGGTCTACTGTGTCAAAGGCCTTGGCAAAATCAAGGAGCTCCAGTTGTCTCCTTGTTCCATGCCAATTTGGATGTCATTGCAAACTTTTAAGAGGGCAGTCGTAGTTAAGTGATTTGGACGAAAGCCTGATTGATCAGAGGTCAGATAATTTGATCGTTGATAGTATTCACATAGTTGCGCGTGGACGCATTTTTCCAAGATTTTTGACAATACCGGGAGCAATGATATCAGGCGATAGTTATACACCAAGGTATTGTCACCACCTTAATGGATAGGTACAACTTTTGCAGTCTTCCAAAGTTTGGGTATGTATCCTGACAACAGGGATTCATTGATAAGGGTAGTGACAGGTTTAGCAATTGCTGGCGCACTGAGCTTCACCAACATTACTGGGATTTGATCTGGTCCACACTTGTTTTTAAATTTTTAGATTATTTAGATGTTTATTAACGACACTAACAGGCACAGGTCTAAAATTGAATTTCTCTATATGAGGATTTTGAAGATTTGGCAGTGCCTGATCTTTATTTGCGGTCTGAAAATGAGTGCCATTTGTTATCTTAGCAAGCATGGTGGTAGCACCATAAAGGCATTTGCTACATCTAGGGGGTGTTGCAGTGTTTGGTTGTCCATTTTGACAGTGGGGGGTTTGTATGCGATTTATGATTTTACAGAAGTTTCTTGCGTTTGATAGGTTGTTCAAATTTTCACTGAAATATTGGGCCTTTGCCATTTTTGTTTGTTTTGTGCATGCATTTAGCCAATTTTCTGTACGTACAGTGATCGTTCATGGAGCCAGTACGCTTGAACTTTGACCACAGCGAAACTCTAAACTGGTACATTTGAATGAGGTCAGCTGTAACCCAGGGCAGGTGTGCCCCTTTTAGTTGCACTTTACACAGAGGGACATGCAAGTTCCAAACAAGCAAGTGCCCAGACTGAAAAAATGCAATTGCAGAGTCTAGATCTGATATTAGACCTAATCTAATGATATGAGTTCCTTATATCAGTACATATGTGTTAAGGGAAGATTACCGTATTTTTCGCTCCATAAGACGCACTTTTTTTCCCCTCAAAAGTGAGGGGAAATGTCTGTGCGTCTTATGGAGCGAATGTGAAGATTTACTTACCTGTCTTGGAGCATGGGCCGGCTTCACAGCGCGCTCCGCGGTCCAGGAACTTCTATTTCAGGTTCCGTTTTCAGGCGGGACTGAAAGGAAGTGCACACTCAGTGTGCACACTTCCTTTCAGTCCCGCCGGAAACCGGAACCTGAAATAGAAGTTCTTGGACCGCGGAGCGCGCTGTGAAGCCGGCCCACGCTCCAAGACAGGTAAGTAATTATGGGACAAGGGGAGGGGGAGACACTATGGGACAAGGGGAGGGGAGGAGACACTATGGGACAAAGGGAGGGGGACACTATGGGAGAAAGGGAGGGGAGACACTATGGGACAAGGGGAGGGGGAGACACTATGGGACAAGGGGAGGGGGAGACACTATGGGACAAGGGGAGGGGATACACTATGGGACAAGTGGAGGGGGGACACTATGGGACAAGGGCGGGGGGGGACACTATGGTAGGGAAAGTGCACTATGGGACAATGGGAGGGGGGAACACTATGGGATCAGAACACTAATGGACAAGGGGAGGAGGGGTTAAAGAACACTATGGGACAGGGTAGGAGGGGTTAAATAACACTATGGGACAGGGGAGGAGGGGTTAACAATCACTATGGGACAGAGGAAAGGGGGGTTAAAGATCATTATGGGACAGGGGAGAGAAAAAAATATTCTGAACAAACTGTCCCATAGTAAGAAACTCCTCTAAAAACTAGGTGCGTCTTATGGTGAGGTGCGTCTTATGGAGCGAAAAATACGGTACATAGTTACAATTATATAATGAATTGACAGTGAATATGTAGCGAGGATCAGAGGAAATGCATTCGGTAGAATTTTAATAAAATTATGGAATGTTTTCTGGAGAGCTGTACAAGGAGGGAGTCATCCTTTAGTTTCTGTATGCCTCCCTATTTCACTCTACTATCTTTTTCACTTAGCTAATAAATAAAATGTAATATGACTGCTCTTATGGTTACCATAGTAACAGTAGGGGGTCCTTTGATCAGTTACCTGTAGATAAAGGGCAAAGACACGTGCATCTAAGAGCAGGGCTTATACACCATGTAAACACAAACATTAACACTGTACATATAATGACAGGCACGACAGAAGGTTGTCAGGTTTAGAGTACGTGATATAACTGTATGTTCATCAGATGGTGCGTGTGCAATGTGTTTATTGAACTGTAAGGGTGTACGGTGTAGCTGTATTCATTAGATTGCAATGTTGCATGGTGGGATTATGTATTGATCTGTTGTTAAAAGCACACAGTGTATCTGCATATTGACAAAATAGTGAGACTGCTTTATGGAAGTGTGTTGATTGCGTTGTGAGAACGCATGCTGTAACTGTGTACGGATGAAGTGGTGAGAATACATTGATGTAACTCTATAGATCAGATGGCCAGATTCCTTAAATCAGCCGTGTGCTGACCATTGAAAGTGTACTATTTAGATTTGTATTGCTCAGAGATGCTTAGCGTGCATAATGATGTCTGTTTAAATCTGACGAAGATGAGTGATGTATATAATAAGAAGTAAAGAAAAGCGTTTTTGCACACTATCCCAAATCCCTATGCATATTTAAATAACGAGAGGGGCATTTTTCAAAATCCCTACATATTAACCCTTAACAGGGAACACTTGGCGTGGGCGGCAGCATGGCTGTGTGACACAAAAGCGAATACAAATACACATAGTCCCGTGCTGTACTGTGAACTTTATTTGAGAGTTTTGTACAAGGTGGGCCAAAATTCAGAGTAAGATTTGACGGGTAAATAACTCATTTGTTGTTAAACTTTTTTGTTGCATGTGCATATTATAATTGAGTTTTGGGAGATTTAACTATTTTTACTCATTGTTTTTTTTCGTGAAATTACTCGTGATGAATCTCACAAGACTCAACTGTATGTACCTGCAACAACAACAACAAAAAAAAGTTTACTGACAAATACGTTTTTTACCTGTCAAATCCTGCTGTGAATTTTGGCCCACCCTGTACAGAACCCCAAAATGAAGGTCACATCCATTTGGCAAGTTCAGTTTTATGTGAAATAGAATCTGTTCTAATGTTATTAATGAATGTGTGCATGCATGCAGTATTTAGACTGCAAGCATTATGGTATTGTTTGTACGGTGTATTGATTTAAACACCTTTTAAAAAAAATAAAAATTATTTATGTTGAAAGGAGGTCATCACTGTTCGTTGTTTACACAACAGTGATGCAATGTTTCCTGTTTGTTGCTTTTTATTTTTTGTGCCAAACAAGGCCCTCCTTTCACCACTTCATGCTTTGTGTCCACACTGTCCTTCCCCACACTATATGTGACAATCCTGTGGTTTGAGACTCTTGTAAACCAACCTCTAAGGTGTGTATGTATATAAACCGATGCAAATAGACATTATTGAAGCAGAGGGTGTGTTTGTTTCGTGCCATCATGAGAGTGCTATCAATCTTATTCCTCGTGGGCACCATGTGTGTTAGGAGTCACTGCGCTCCTACACCCCGCAAGACCCCACTGCCTATTGTATTTGTGGGAGAGATCCATAACAACATGAGTGACATGCAACTGGCTGAGGTGATATATTCAGTGTCTTTCTCTAACTATGCCCTTGATCTCCATTTTATTTCTATACCTGCCTCTTTGCTACATTATCTGTCACATCACTTGCCTTTTAATTTTACCTGTACACTTTAAAACAAAAACAGGGTTATTCTGTAAGCCGAAAATTGCCCACAGCCGTCACATAATTCTGTGAACGTCCCCTAATTTGCAAGCTTAGTGTTCAACTGAGCATTCAATAACTGTAATTCAGTGGTTAATTTAGGGAAAGCAAAAAAGTAGGGGTGATCCTGCTAGGGAAAATAAGAAAAGCGCAACCATAGATAATGGTTCAAGTAGCCACTCAAACTTTCAATGCCAAATTCAAGCTTTCAGAATATCTTCGAAGAGATCACTCTCTTTTTCAGACTCCGAACAGTCTCAAGACCATTTAAAGAGAATAAAAAGTGCAAAAATTGTAGTGGAAATGTAATTTTAAAAATGTGAAACTTTTTCCAAGTCCACCAGTCTGGTTTCATATTTTTGACTGCCATAACCTGCGGTTTTAAAATTACATGTGAGCGAATAAAATTGATGTACACTTTATTTGAAATGTGCACTACAATTTTAATACGCAATACGATCGAATATGCTTGTTTTGTCCAGAGCAATTGGTGCCTGTTAAAATATACCAAAGAGAGAGTTCCAATATTTATCAAACACTGAATATATATAAAAGTGCTTCTCAACTGATACAGTTATTGACACAGTGCAAAATATTGATGTCTACATAGAACAAACAGCAAATCGACACATTTGCTATAAACTAATTACAGTGAAAGGGTTAAAAAAAAAAAAAAGGGTCGGGAGGCTAGTTCTTAGTCCCCTCTGCTGGCCAAATTTTCTTTTCAAAATGTGAAAGGTGATGAGAGGGTGGCATAACTGTCCCTGGGAAAGTGGCGATGGTCATCTATAGCAAGGAGGGAGGGGAGTTGACGTCACATTTTGACATAGCCACTGCAAGGAAAAGTGACATTTTTTGCGGGGAACGCAGTTCTTTACTTGTTGTTTGGGGGTCCAAAGGACCACCATAACTGGAGTGTTAAATTGGATTAGCTGGGAAAAAGTGAAAGGGGGAGAGAAAGGGGTTTAAACGTTCTATATAAGTAACTACACAGACAAAGGTTATGTCTTTAATAGCTGAGCCATAATTAAATTTTTAATCCATCAACTACCACAAATCAAGTGAGCAGAAGATAGAGAAATTGAGCAAAATGTCCATAATGCTATGGGATTCCTTTGTACTCCCATTTAAAAATTACCTTCTGGGACTAGATATTCCGTGTATAAGACTCTCCCCATGAATAAGATGACCCCTATTTTGTGAGCCCAAAATTAAGAAATAAATATTTTAAACATAAAATAGAACAACTTTGATATTTTAGAGGTGACTTCTGAGGAGAACAACACACGTCTGATTCTCATGCCTCCCCCGTGCTACAGTACCCACAATACAGCAGGTGGTGTGAGGGCATGTCGGGACATCACAGTAGTATTCACTCTGATCCCCATTCCCCCTCATAAATATAAATCAGAAAGCAAAACCTACCTTAGATGGAGCAAACTTTAATATGGCTGCTCCTATTATGGTGTGGCATGTCTCTGGAGCTCCATTGGTGGTAAGTGCTGATGTCTGCTACAGCTCTCACACATATAGGGACCTCTTTCTCCCTGCCACAGCATTCAGAAGTGGTTCGTCAGGAGGGAAGCCAGGTGTGTGTGTGGGCCGTGGCATACTGAAACGCGACAGGCCACCTCTTGGCTTAAGCCCCACGCACAAGTGTTTGTTTTTTAACCCCTGCAGTGACATTCCGTGTATAAGGTGACCCCCAATTTTAGAGTTAAAAAAAAATGTAGAAAAACAAATAGTCTTATACATGGAAAAATACGGTAGATTGAGAAGCTGTGGCTGCTCGTCTACTATACCAGGGCTAGGCAACCTTCTGCACTCTACATGTTGTTTAAGAAATCTCCCGTAATATTCTTTCAGCCATAACAGTGGCAAAGCATTAGGGGAGTTATAGTACACAAAATCTGAGGTGCCAAATGTTGCTTACTCCTGTGCAACTATTAACCCATCACAAACCACCCGTGGAGAATAAACTATTGAGCTGGTATTTCTCACAGTTTTATTAATTCTTCTAAACCGTACAATTCAAGTGTATATATCCCATAACCAAATGGGTAGGATAAGGAGTGGGTGGAATACTATATGGACTTTTATTCCCGTGTTAAGTATCCTTGATTTAGCTGTGGCTGTGCTAAAACCCTAAAGCTTTGGAACTCCTGGTCCATATTAACCCCTCGTGTAACACATTATTGCTTTCTTTATAGAGTTACCTAAATCGGTATGGCTACCTGGTCTCAGAGCATGGGTCTGATGCCCGCATCACCCTGCAGAAGGCTCTTCGCAAAATGCAGCAGAAGCTGGGATTGCAAGAGACAGGAGATCTTAATCAAGAAACAATAGCTGCCATGCAAGCCCCTCGTTGTGGAGTGCCAGATGTAGGTCGGTACAACACATTTGAGGGTGATTTAAAGTGGGATCATGATGAAATCACATACACGTAAGTATATTAGTTGAAATTACATTGATTTTTAGATCTCTCCTTTATTGCATATTATCAGCTTGTAAAATAAAAGCAACAAGAAAAATATATATAAAATATTGATTTGAATGTGTGCACCTGTATTTACCTTTTATATTGACATATCCTCCTGCCTTGAGTGATTTAAATGTAGGAAAGAGAAACCCAATATAGATTGTGTAGATAAACCTTGTACGTGATGAGACTCATAATCTAGGAGACTTTCACATTTGTAAACAAATCACTTCTACAATTTTACAATAAACCTTTAAATGCTCTCCTGATCTATTTGTCACCCAGTATCCTGAACTACTCTCCTGATTTGGACCGTGAAGTCATAGACGATGCCTTTTCTCGTGCCTTCAACGTCTGGAGCGAAGTGACTCCTCTTACATTTAAACGAATATACGAAGGAGTACCTGATATTGACATCCTATTTGGATCTGACAGTAAGTAGACATACCGATAAAGTTATTGTAAAACAATCTGTAGCTTGATTTGTGATTTTCAATGAGTCTTATCTGTACGTTAAAGTGTGTTCTTCACAAGCCCACAACAGTCTTAAAATGACTCTGTTCCCACCTTAGAGAAGACAAACGTAAAAATCCCATAAAACATTGAGAACCCACATGAGAACCCACATTATAACCTCTTCGTGAGAACTATCCATTCAATTGCTCACTAGGGCTATAAGCAGAAATAAAATTGGACATGATGTTTGACTTTATGTTGTATTTGCTTCTAATATCATCGATCTAATCTACCTATCCGATAGGCTAGCTTGTTGCAGATGTGTTGAATGAATGCACTTGAAATTCGGGTTGATCTATTAACTAAAATCTAGCTAAATTGAATTGCATTTCACGCAAAGAATTGCTGCAAAAATAAGTTAAAAGAGCCAACATGGAAAAACAAATCTGCAGTTCACCCAGTAACATGAGATATGTTTTCAACCTTAGTTGGAGAAGTTAGTTGTCATTGACCTAGAACATAATGCTGTGACAGCTTGTGCGAAGTGAAAAGACATCATTGTATATTCCTTCATCCTTCTCTTGAACAGATCATGGAGACCCCTACCCATTTGATGGCACGAATGGACTCTTGGCTCATGCATACCCTCCTGGTAGTGGCGTGCAGGGGGATGCACACTTTGATGATGATGAGTTCTGGACACTTGGCACCGGAATTGGTAAGAATTAGCTCATAACATAGTAACCGTTATTTAGTAACATGGTAACGTAGGCTGGAAAAAAGATTCACATATTAAAACCCGTTTTCCTGGCACTATAGGCTCCTGCAGTGCCCCCCTTCCGCAGTGCTGAAGGGGTTAACAACCCCTCTAGTCACTTGTTTGAATCCAGTGCCAATGTCCATCGGCGCTGAGTCAGGCTCTGCCCACGCTCCTCTTCAGCCGGCGGGAAAAACCTAATGCATATGCGCGACAATGGCTGCAGTCACATTCAGATTTTCCCATAGGAAAGCATTGTTCAATGCTTTCCTATGGGGAAAAATCTGATGCTGGAGGTCCTCATGCAGAGTGTCTGTCTGGAAGACAGCCACTAGAAGAGGAGGTAACCCTTTAGAGGTAATTATTGCAGTTTCTCAGAAACTGCAATAATTACCTCTATAGAGTTAAGGGACATGGGACATTGCACCTTGACCACTTCAATGAGCTGAAGTGGTCCCTTTAAGGACCAAGGCTTTTTTCGGATTCTATGCATTTGTGACCAAGGCTTGTTTTTTACAGAATAAATGCATGGCAAAAGTAACAATGTCCCTTTTTCTGTTTAAGTGCGCCCATATTATATATAATTTTGATATCCTATATGTATATATAACACAATATTAAATAGGAATAAAAAAGAAAAACTTTTTTTTTTAATTTTACATTTCATAGTTTTTACACATCAAGTGCAACTAAAGAAAACCAACTCAAACGAGATTGACTAATTGGTCCTGATTGTTAAAATACCCAATATGTCTAGGATTTCATTTCATCTTTAGAAGTTATAAAACAAATATTGCAATTAGTGAATTTTTTTAAAGCTAAAACTTTGCAACATTTGGCATGCTGAGATTACAACTTTAATTGCTGTCACAGAATCCAAAACTGTTACACAAAAGTATAGATTTGTAGAAAGTATATACCACAAGCTGTGTAACTAAGAGCAATTTGACACTTTTGATTTAACCATTTTATCACAAATTTAAGTGGAATTAGTTAATTCACATAATACGTATCCTTCTTCTGCAAACACCTCATATTTCTACTCTGCTACTGTTGTCGAGTAAAATGATACCCCACATTTATTTACTTTCACTTAATCCTACCCCCAATCTTGTTCCAACCCACAATCCTACACATAATCTAATCCCTTTTTCTTACATTTAATCCCACACCCTAATCCTACCCCCAGTCCTGGATCTAAGGGATTCCCTCTGCTAATGTCAGTACTGACATCAGCAGAGGGATTTCCTAGTTCACACAGTACAGTGGACTCTTTTGCAGCATGAGAGGATGAGCTTTCTCCTTCAACACACAGAGATCGGTACTAGGCAGCTGGCAAAGCCCAGCACCAATCATTGGGCTAAGGATTGGTGAACTTTGGGGGTCTTTCTCATAGTAGGGGGACAGTGCCAAGCCATGGGAATACCTATTTAATTTTTCATATTCAAAATTACCTAGTTTAAATCAATTTAAAGAGTTATGTGCTGCGTTCACCATGAGCGCTGCACTTTGTCAGTCTGGGGCCACTAATTGTATTAAAAGAAACCTGGGGATTCCTGATTTTCTTAAGGCAGCAGGCTGGGGCAGTGATAGAAATACCACAGCGGAGTGAGATCGCTCACCTGCGGTATTTAAAGGGCTATGTGCAGCACCTTTGAGTGCTGTACCTAGCTTATTGCTAACTGTGGCCCCAGCTGACAGAGGACCTTCAGGTATCGCACTATACCTTGGGAGTCCTTGGTATCCTTGGCACCAGAAGGGATTTAACTCCTACTGGTAGTTTTACTGCATGATGGTCTACGCCGTCACAGGGCGTTAAAGACCTGCATGCGTTCGTAAATGGTTAAGGTATATTTTTTTTTAAATGGTACAACAGAACCAAAACAACAAATAGAAATTCAGATTAGCCAAGTGCAAAAGCAAGAATTAAATAAAATAGCTCCTCTAACATTTAACTATTTCAAACTTGCCCTTCTTTCGAATACATCTTTTTATTATGTAAACCTGACAATCTACATAACACTGTACACATTTTCATTATGTAAGATTTAGAATAAAAAATTTGATGCCCGGGGTCTGAGAAACAAAGCCTTCCAGAGAGGATGGCATGGGTATTTAACTAGGCTTTCCTGTTCTAAATTCACTGTCACAGAGCGTTAACCAACAGAGATTATCCCTTTCTATACATAACTGTAATCTGTCTCTCTCACGAGGAGCTAAGTAACAATTGTCCCCTATCCAATATTCATTGTAGAAGGACCGTTTCTTGGTAAGATATATCTGCTTAAAAATTACCCTTCACTATCAGAGTTAACCATACAAGGCAGTCTAGGATCTGATTAACCCCTTAAGGACCAAACTTCTGGAATAAAAGGGAATCATGACATGTCACACGTCATGTGTCCTTAAGGGGTTAAAAGCTGTTGAACAATATGCAATGACCTCTTTCTTTGTGTATCTATGTAAGACACCTTTCACTTGTTTCAAATATAGCTGTTTTATCAGCATTCCATCAGTGTGTCAAATGCTGTTTAGTAAGAGTAGTGGGAAATTTTTTAGGGTCCTTAATGTATTTTACAATGCAGGTCATTTCAAGTTTAGAAGATTACAGACTTAGTTCTCCATTCTTTGAAAGGGATACTCTACTGCCCAAATAAAGTCACTATTCTGCAGATACACCCCAAATAAAACATGCATAAGTTAATTGTGCATTTTTTCATTGGAGTTATATGTAAAAGATGCAGATCTTTTGTCTGGAGCCCTTCTAACCCAGCACATACTTTCTGTGTCTGTCTAATCACAGGTTTCCCAATGCAGCTCAAGTATTTGCAAGGCAAGTGCTCTGAGCAATTGTTGCCTCTTGAGTTTAGCTCCACCGAGCTAAAACAAAACTAGGAAGTAACAGGACTGATTGTCTGATTGCCAGCCAGGTGGGTGTAACAAGGTAATTTTAAAAAGTGCCGATTTCTATTGAGATCAACACTTTTTGTAAAAAAAAAAAAAAAAAAAAGGGCACACTATTCACACATAAAGCACTAGCAAGAGCTTTAGAGGTCTGGAGTGTCCCTTTAGGTAAATGTGACCTCTTTCTTAAACATACCACTGTTATTTTAAGAGCGGTCTCTTCCTGTATTCCGTTAACAGATTGGCCTGTAGCTCACTACAATATTTTGTCCCATAAAGACAGTGAGCAGAACAAGATTATTTTTTTTAATTAATTTCCCCCTAAAATATTACTGCTTCTAATGTATAGCATTTAAAGACACACCCTGCTTCTGTTATATAAAGACATTTTGAGTGGTCTCATTCTGAGATATTGATACAGATGGTCTATGCTGCACCTTTATAACAATGTACATATTCATTATTTCATACTCCCTTGATCAGCCTGCAATTTGTTCAGTTTTAACAGCAGTTGTAGAGTGACCTTTTCTTACCAGGTCCACCTAAAGCTATAGCAGCTCCCAAACCACTATCTATATATTAATCCATTATAGGGTTTTGGAGTTCAGAATTTCTGACAACCCGCTGATCAGACAAACCTCAAGTTGTTTGAAGTCAATTGCAAAAGTGTAATACGTAGCTGCTTTGGTAGCCATATCCGTCGGTGTGTAGGTATCCGTAGGTGGGAGAGTGCTATAACACCCACCTTCCATTGCTGCCACCTTCACCAAGCAGGATAATAATCACTGCATCTGAGACATGTTGGAAACAAGTGAACCACCTAGGGAATGGATCTCTTGCTCCCCCTGTAGTCATTCCTCAGCATTACACCCTGTGTACAAAGGATTTGATTGACAGGTGGGGAGGGGTTATATGGCTGTTATCTTGCCAAGAGTGTCCTGGTGCCCCTCTTATGTAATAAGTAAATATTTTGCTGATGTTTTGACAACGTACCTGTTTTCTTCCCAGTGCCATTTATCTCCTTCATGAGAGTTGGAAGTTAAACCTGGGGGTGCAGTATCACAGACAATTTATTTGTAACACATGGTTAATTTTTATGTTTCACCAATTCAGTGTGTCATTAAACCAAAGTAAGGCAACAGTTTATCAAGGAGACACCAAAAGTTGTAACAAAACATATTTTGTTTACCATTAGGGAGGTTGCTAGGTCTAGACAATAAAAAGTCCCCAGGGGTATGGTGTAATAGGGTGGTGGAAAGCTCGAGTTCCAACGGAAGCAAGTTTAACCTAGACAAATTTAGCCCACCATAAATTAAAGAGACGTTTTGTCTTATACGTATTTATTGTTTTTTTTATTTATTTTGTTTTGGGGGGGATAATTAAGTTGCCTTATGCCTATCCCACGCATACTTAAGCTCCTTTACTGTGTTAACCTCTACCACTTCAGCTGGAAGGCAATTCCATGCATCCACTACCCTCTCAATAAAGTAATACTTCCTGATACTATTTTTAAACCTTTACCCCTCTAATTTAAGACTGTCCTCTTGTTCTGGTAGTTTATCTTCTTTTAAATATAGTCTCCTCCTTTACTGTGTTGATTCCCTTTATGTATTTAAATGTTTCTATAATATCCCCCCTGTCTCGTCTTTCCTCCAAGCTATACATGTTAAGTTCCTTTAACCTTTCCTGGTAAGTTTTATCCCGCAATCCATGAACCAGTTTAGCAGCCCTTCTCTGAACTCTCTCTAAAGTATCAATATCCTTCTGAAGATACGGTCTCCAGTACTGCGTACAATACTCCAAGTGAGGTCTAAACAGTGCTCTGTACAATGGCATAAGCACTTATTTCTACTGCTAATACCTCTCCCTATACAACCAAGCATTCTGCTAGCATTTCTTGCTGCTCTATTACATTGTCTACCTACCTTTAAGTCATCACAAATAATTACCCCTAAATCCCTTTCCTAAATTCCTTTAATATAACCAAGTAAACCAGTTAACTCCTGGGTATCATTTGGACACTTGAGTAGAGATCCTATTGCCTCATCAAAATGTTGCTTAGAATTATAAGACCTGATCTGACTGCTCACCTTATTAGATGCTCTTTTGCAGTAGCAGTTGAATAAAAACACATTCATCATCTTTGAGCTGATTAAAATCTTGTGACCTCCAGTAAAGGGTGAAAATTGTATTTTTAAAATGTAAATTAGGTGACATTAAAATATATAGCAAAAAGGCAGTGTTGGTAGGATATCTAGATGTGATACAAAGTCACCAATTCCACGCTTGGGTTCAGACATTATTTATTGCCTGTAAATAAATCCAATGATTATTGGGAGAATAGCAAAACAATTCTACACAAGGGGCATTCCCTCACACACTTTGATACATGAATAAATATTCACAGCTAACAATAAATTACGTAATTGACTAATACGATATAAGTAATTTGCAATTATGTAACATCCTCTAAAAAAAACGCTATTTGTTGCTCCATGTGAATATCCTAAATATCATATTCCCTTAATTTCTCCCTATAGACTTTGTTAGAAAAAAAAAAAAATTGCAGATATTTAACATTCACATACTGCATTCTAAACACTCAGCATTGTCCTTTCCACACTCTACTTCCCTAACAGGCTCCCAGGCATTTTAACATAGTCCTTGAAAGATATTCTATTACGCTAAAAATTGCCTTTCATTCCGAACATTAAGTTGAACGAGCAAAACAATATAGACGCCATTTTGTAATGTTTTAAAATTGGCATCCATTTTTGGCTACTTTCACAGATGAATTGGTTAAATAAATATGGTGAACTAGAGGTTATCTAGGGCATGCAGTCATATCCTAATTTACTAAAGGCACACTGAATCTCATTTTCTACCATATGCAGTCCGTAACCACATTGGTTTCCTTCATTATCCTCAGTTGTAAAATCACATTTTGGAAATGCAAATGGAGCTCTGTGCCACTTTCCATTCATATTTGGGGGTCAATCGTATTCCAGTTGTACGACTGTCGGACGCTCTGACGGGAATCTCTGGTGTAGTACCACACCCAACTTCGATCAGGATGGCAAATATGGCTTCTGTCCCAGCGAATGCAAGTATCTGAACACCATTCAAGCAATGTTTAACCTTATACTTATTCAGAATTATGTGGAAATTCAATAAAAAAAATCTCTGTGTAATACAAAGAATGCCACCTATTGGTACCTGGGTAACAAAGTGATAATTGTAATTTCCCACAAACAATAACACTTCCTAAATTCAAAGAGAGATCACAGGGACAGTCCAGGCTGGAATTGGCCATTCTACAATAATGCATCTAAAAATATACAACAATCAATTCAAAATAATGTTTAATAAAAAAACAATTGACGATGCTAAATTTGCAAGAAATCCCTAGGCTTTGCAAGCAGCGCGCACTGTGCAGACCAGGGATCACCCAATCAGGATGCGTTATTAACTTTCTCCTGCAAGTGCTCACTTATCCCATAAATCTTAGCACAGCAGGGATTCATGGGAAGAACAAGGAATAGTAGTTCAGTTTGTCTTCCTTCTGCTTATGTTGAACTACAACTCCCATAAATCATTGCTGCACTTGCTGATGGCAGCTGTGTTATTGGAGCAAACAAAAGGCAGGAACAAAAATGGTGTCATGTGGAATGATAGCTATTCTTATGAATAAAAAAGACACTTAAAAATAATTATTTTTTAAAAACCTACCTTAAGTAATTGTAACCTAATATTGCACGTAATGTGCCAGGATTCCTTCTTTTAATTATTCCTTCAGATAGCTATTTAATCTGTCTGGTTGCGTTTCCACATTCTCTAATATTACCTTGTTGTAATTTGAGGCAAATGACTGTAAATGCTATATGGGCTTCAGCTGTGACATCATATACTACAGTATAGTACAGTCTTAATTAAATGACAGAACTGCTTAAGCTGCATCCTTTTCTGCCCTTCAGAAGATGATGTGTAGAAAAAAGGAAAAAGGGATGCAGCTAAGAACTAAAATAAAAAAGAAAGCAGACAACACATAGTGATGTACAGTTGGATTAAATAACACACTGCAATAATGGTTGCACTCACAAGATTTAAATGAGATTTGCGCCTTGAAATCCACTAAGGGATATTGCTGGACCGCGTCCACTGGAGGATGGTGGATAGTAAGCAGACCCAGATGGCTCAGGATACAATCAGGAACCAGATTTTGAAAAGAAGAGATTTATTTAGGCACAATTGCCCAATACAATATAAAAAATTAAAATAAAATCTTTATTTTTAATTTTTATATTTTATTGGGCAATTGTGCCTAAATTAACGTCTTCTTTTCAAAATCTGGTTCCTGATTGTATCCTGAGTACATTTTATTCATTTATGTGATACATAAATTTTTTTATTTTTTTGTTTGTTTGTTACACTTCAGAAGAAGAACCAGAATCCGTGCTTACTGTGCGTTTGTATTTCCACAGTGCTTTTCACATATGGAGGGAACAGTAATGGAGAGCCCTGTGTCTTTCCCTATATCTTCGATGGAAAATCCTATTCTAGCTGTACCAAGGAAGGTCGTTCTGATGGATATCGCTGGTGCAGTACTACTGCCAACTATGACACAGATAAGAAATATGGCTTCTGCCCTAATAGAGGTAATTCGTGTCCCAAGTACTTATGGAATTGCTCCACCGTGACATAAGATAAGAGAGACCATGTCACACTCAACATGGGTGAATTTCTACTCACAATGGAATTTTCACTTGCCAAAAGCTGGTGGCGAGTGAAAATTTTGAGTCCTGTGTGTGTGTATATTTAAGGTAGGTGTAAATATAGGCTAGCACTATGTCAAGGTTTACACATAAAGTGATACTAAAGTAATATTGATGTAAGAAAATGATTGTGGCAGTACTTAAGTTCTCTTCTCTTTCAGACACTGCTGTGATTGGTGGAAACTCTCAGGGAGATCCTTGTGTCTTCCCATTTTCATTTCAAGGAAAAACCTATAATTCATGCACAAGTGAAGGTCGGGGGGATGGGAGGTTGTGGTGCGCAACCACCTCTAGCTACGACACAGACAGCAAATGGGGTTTCTGTCCTGATCAAGGTTTGTTAATATTGCTTGCAAGGGTCATTTTCTTATAAACTGATTTTGAAACCCTACCATAGCAGATAAATACAGTTTACATGTAATCCAGACACTACTTTAAATTTAATAGCTTAGATATCCCCCTCTGTGATATGTGAAAATATCTGTTCACATTTCCACCTAGTGTATCTAGTTTATAAGTGCATGTCGCCCACCTACGCTATACAGTATATTGATGTTATATTAATCTCTTTTCATACAGGATATAGTCTTTTCCTTGTTGCTGCCCATGAATTTGGTCATGCTTTAGGACTGGACCATAGCAATGTCCAAGAAGCTTTAATGTACCCAATGTACAGCTATGTGAGTGATTTTCAGCTTCACCCTGATGATGTGAAAGGGATACAGTATCTGTATGGTGAGTAAAAGAGATTTGGCACAAGCAGTTTTGTTTTGGTGGTCTTGGTGACCCGATATCATAAATACAGGGTAAAGTAAGATGATCGCACTGGACCAGTTATTCAGATAATCTTTATGGTATAGAACGCCAATGCATTTTTTAAAACAAATTTATGACGCAGGAGTGTGGAATTATTTTTTTTTTTTATTTACTTGTCAAAGGTACTAAAAGTAGCCCAAACTACTTGGTCTGTCATGATAATCTACTTGTCCTGACACAAAATAATTTAATTTAAAAAGATTGGGGCCCTTGACACTGACATGCTGAGTTTTCACAAAGTTAATCTGAAAGGAGAAATGGAGGCACAAATAGCTAATTTGGAAACATTCTCTAACTCTGCTATAGTCACAACATGGCTATTTATGCCTCAGTTTTGCCATTTGGATTTATTTTGCAAAAATTCAGAGTCTTGCGAAACCTTCCCATAGTGTCCACCTTTTGATAGTGTGCAGTACATGCTTACTGTTTGTCGTGCGGTGTGTGCTTGTTGTGTGTCGTAGGTGTGGTGGCTGTATGTGTGGAGATGACTGACTGTGCTTGTTGCAAGTGTGGTGGGTGCTAGCTGTATGTCGTCTGTGGAGTGTCCTTTCTGCATGTCGTGTGTGTTGTGTGCTGGATGTCTGTTTGCTGACTGTGGGTGTGATGTGTATGTGCTGGTTGTATGTGGTGTCTAGGTGCTGGTTGTATGTGATGTCTAGGTGCTGGTTGTATGTGATGTCTAGGTGCTGGTTGTATGTGGTGTCTAGGTGCTGGTTGTATGTGATGTCTAGGTGCTGGTTGTATGTGATGTCTAGGTGCTGGTTGTATGTGGTGTCTAGGTGCTGGTTGTATGTGGTGTCTAGGTGCTGGTTGTATGTGATGTCTAGGTGCTGGTTGTATGTGATGTCTAGGTGCTGGTTGTATGTGATGTCTAGGTGCTGGTTGTATGTGATGTCTAGGTGCTGGTTGTATGTGATGTCTAGGTGCTGGTTGTATGTGATGTCTAGGTGCTGGTTGTATGTGATGTCTAGGTGCTGGTTGTATGTGATGTCTAGGTGCTGGTTGTATGTGATGTCTAGGTGCTGGTTGTATGTGATGTCTAGGTGCTGGTTGTATGTGATGTCTAGGTGCTGGTTGTATGTGATGTCTAGGTGCTGGTTGTATGTGATGTCTAGGTGCTGGTTGTATGTGATGTCTAGGTGCTGGTTGTATGTGATGTCTAGGTGCTGGTTGTATGTGATGTCTAGGTGCTGGTTGTATGTGATGTCTAGGTGCTGGTTGTATGTGATGTCTAGGTGCTGGTTGTATGTGATGTCTAGGTGCTGGTTGTATGTGATGTCTAGGTGCTGGTTGTATGTGATGTCTAGGTGCTGGTTGTATGTGATGTCTAGGTGCTGGTTGTATGTGGTGTCTAGGTGCTGGTTGTATGTGATGTGTAGGTGCTGGTTGTATGTTATGTCTCGGTGCTGTTTGTATGTGATGTCTCGGTGCTGTTTGTATGTGGTGTCTAGGTGCTGGTTGTATGTGGTGTCTAGGTGCTGGTTGTATGTGATGTGTAGGTGCTGGTTGTATGTGATGTCTAGGTGCTGGTTGTATGTGGTGTCTAGGTGCTGGTTGTATGTGATGTCTAGGTGCTGGTTGTATGTGTGTCTAGGTGCTGGTTGTATGTGATGTCTAGGTGCTGGTTGTATGTGATGTCTCGGTGCTGTTGTATGTGGTGTCTAGGTGCTGGTTGTATGTGATGTCTAGGTGCTGGTTGTATGTGATGTCTAGGTGCTGGTTGTATGTGATGTCTAGGTGCTGGTTGTATGTGATGTCTAGGTGCTGGTTGTATGTGATGTCTAGGTGCTGGTTGTATGTGATGTGCTGTTTGTATGTGGTGTCTCGGTGCTGGTTGTATGTGATGTCTAGGTGCTGGTTGTATGTGATGTCTAGGTGCTGGTTGTATGTGGTGTCTAGGTGCTGGTTGTATGTGATGTGTAGGTGTTGGTTGTATGTGCTGGCTGTATGTTATGTTTGTGTGTTCTGGCAGCATGTGATGTGTGCTCAGAGCCGGTGCAAGTATTTCTGCCGCCCTAGGCAAAGATCCATTTTGCTGCCCCCTCATGTCCCTCACACATACTCACTTGCAGTTAGACATGCACATTCACCTGCCACTGACACACATACACACACAGACACTTACTGACATACACACAGACACTTACTGACAGACATACACAGACACTCACTGACAGACATACAATCACTGACAGACAGACATACAATCACTCACTGACAGACAGACAGACAGACAGACATACACTCACTCACTGACATACACGGGCAGACAATCACTGACAGATACACACACACAATGACAGTCACACATGCAGACACTCACTGAGATACATACTCATTCACTCACTAACAGACACACACTCACTGGCAGTCAACCACTCACCTCCCTGGGGTCCAGTGTGGGGCAGCTCCTCACTCCTCCAGCCCGCTGTTTAGTATGCCGGGGCTGGAATTATGTCATATTCCAGCTCCCAGCATCACAGAGGGTGCGCAAGGGAAGAACAGCCTCCCTTGCCGCCTGCCTTTTCTGTCCCCCTTTCCTCCGGTTGCGCCGGCACCTGTGTGTACTGGTTGTATGTGATGCGTATGTGCTGGCTGTATGTGATGTTTGTGTTTGCTAGTTGTATGTGATGTGTTTGGTGGCTGTGTGCTGGCTGTATGTGCTATGTGAGTCCTGGCTGCATGTGATGTGGTGTGTGTGTGTGTGTGCGCTTGCTGTATGTGATATGTGTGTGTGTGTGGTGTGTGATGGGTAAACCTATAATAACTCCATGGGATTTACCAGTTTCCCAATCCAAAACATAACTCCTTTTGGCAAATCAATGTATTTTGATTGTTATCATGCAACACAGTGTAAGATACACATAACTTGTGTCCTATTCTAAATTAAGCACAAATTCCAGCGTTAATAGAGTGAAATTTCCCTTTACGATATGTTAAAAGCGAAGAAGAGACTGTCAGTGACGATAGTCTTCCCTTTCTGTCTGGATGGAATTTAGCGCATGTGCAGTGATCACCCAGAAGAATGCTTCTCTTAGGGAAACAAGATTAATGCTTCCCAATGGAAGCACTTCTGCTTGAATCAGGAAGGACGTCTGGCTGTCAGCTATGTGAATTAATAAAAGTGTAGATTTCTTACCTCTACAGCATTCATGCAAACATTAGGGTTCTGGAGTGTCCTTTGGATCTATCCAGCTTTCTGCTGGAGAATCAAACTAGGTATTGAAGGCTGAGGAAGAAGAAAATATATTTTTTAAAAATCAGTAAGCAAAACGAAGAGAGAGGTAGCATATGGGATAAATTCTACACATGTGTAGCAGGGATAGGAGGCAGGTGATCGTGCATGTCTAACTGCAAGTCATATTAAACAGAAGTATCCCCGCCAATAATTTGCAAATTACACAATTTGCGTTTCCATGCACAGTTCCCATATTGCTGCTAAGCAGTCACAGCAGAAGGTGGTGCGGTAGAGAGTAACTGTTGCCTTTTCACCAGGTCCTAAGTCAGGTCCAGGTCCTAAGCCTCCAGTGCCTACTAAGAAGCCTTCATCCACATCATCATCCACCACCACCACCACCACCACGAGGAATGACCCCAAGAACCCAACACAGAATGTGTGCAAAGTACAAAGATTTGATGCCATTGCAGATCTGCAGGGAGAACTTCACTTCTTCAAGGATGGGTAAGCAAAGGGTTTGACAAAAAAAACTACAAAAAAACAAACAAAACACAACAGGATGTGGTTAACTACATGGCAGAAATTAAAACAAGCAGTTAGCTGTCCCTCATCCTGAAAATGTAGCACATATGTTGAATAAAGACTCCAGGCATCATAACCACTACAACTTGCTGTAATGGTTATGATGCCAGGCAGTATCAGCTGGATAAGTTTTAAGATGATGGGGTACCAGACTCCTCCCCAAGAATTTTACTCAAACTCTTAACTCTGTAGCCACCATGTTCACACCTTTGGAATCTCTTCAGTTAACCTTAACGGTAGTCCCCAAACAATACTCAGAGCTATGTGCAATGCAGAGAACAATGCAGTACAGAGAATAATGCAATACAACAAACAGAACTGCGTACAATACAAAGTTTCCCATACGATATACAGAGCCAGGTACAATACAGATATACCAGTGCAATACAAATAACCCAGTATAATAGGGATATATGAATACAATACACTGAGCTGAGCATAATACAGACATAATAATATTAATAACACTAATACAATACATAGAGCTGGGCACGTGTGAAATTCACAGAACTGCAGATGTATGGGTATTTGTGGTAGAATACATAGATACCCATACATCAGGCAGAGATGAGTACAATACAGAGCTACAATAAAAAGAACTGGGTACAATAAGGAGATATTCATAATTATCTTATACAGCCAGGGTTAATGGGGTAGAGTTAGGGATAAAATTAAATGAAAAGGAACAGTTATCGATCACAAACTGGGCAACCGTACGCAATGTCGGTGTGTTGTTGCAAAAACGAGTAAGGTGCCTTGAATATGCGGTGCAATTTTGGGCACCGGTTTTAAAGAAGGATATTGTAGAACTAGAAAAAGTGCAGAGGCCAGCTACAAAACTAGCAAGGGGAATGGAAAACATTAGTTATGAGCAGGGCCGGACTGGGAATGAAAAGCAGCCCTGTAAAAAAATTCTATACCAGCCCCACAATGCATCACGCCAGCATAGTGTGCAGATATGGAAGCGGGGAAAAAAAAACTTAAAAATGTATCAGTCAATTTTCTTGAAATATTAAGAAAAGTTTGGTCATTTGGACTGAAATTGTGAATGTATGCTATTGCACAGCAGTAAAAAAAATTACGTTATCTTCACTTTGTACTCTTCACTTTGACTGACAACTGGATACATTTCAGTCAATGCCAATTCAATTCCCATAGGAAAGCATTGGGGGGGCTATTTCACATATGTGGCAAAATGCTGTGCTTCACCGCACCATTTAGCATCTTCTCATAGAGATGCATTGCATCAATGCATCTCTATGGGGAGCGATCAGCGCCTCCATGCAGAGTGTGCAGCACTGGGCTAGGTAGCAGCTCTAGTGGCCGTCTGAGTGACTGTCACTAGAGATGTGCCTAGGCAGCTATGTAGAAAAAGGTAGCATTTATAGTGCTCAGCCTACAGGGACAGGCTATAGACACCAGAACCACTACATTAAACTGTAGTAGTTCTGGTGACTATAGTGTGCCTTTAATACGACATCTTTCTCTCACCGGTCGACTGAGTTACAGGGAGAGCAGGAGACACAAGTGAGGATGCATTTTGTTTGTGTCTTTCTCCCCCAAGCCCCTTTCATGTGTCTCTTGGCCCCAGCCCCATTGTCTCTTTCTCCATTTCCCCTGCCCTTCTGTGAGTGTCTTTCCGAGGCCCCAAGACATCTATGTGTATCTATCCCCACAGCTCCTCTGTGTGTCTCATTCTCCCCTTTCCAAGTCCCTCTGTGTATCTCATGTTTGTCTTCCTCAGCTCCTCTGTGTGTCTCCTGTTCCCCCTTCCCAACCCCTCTGTCTCTTTCTCCCCACACACCTCCGTGGGTCTTTTTACTCCCCAGCCCCTCCATGTGTCTCATTCCACCCTCTTCAGTCTTACATGTGTCCCATTAGCCCCCAGCCCTCCATGTTTCCTATTAGCCCTCTCTCTGTCCATTTAGCCCCCCCAGCCCTCCATGTGTCCCACTAGCCCTCCTTGTGTTCATATACCCCCTCCCAGCCCTGTATGTGTCTCAGTAGCACCCGTGTGTGTCACATTAGCCCCCAAGCCCTCCATGTGTCCTATTAGCCCTCCCTTTCAGCCCTCCATGTGTCCCTATAGCCCCCTCCCAGCCCTCAATGTGTCCCAATAAGCCCCCTCCAAGTCCTCAATGTGTCCCAATAGGCCCCCTCTCAGCCCTCAATGTGTCCCAATAGGCCCCCTCTCAGCCCCCATGTGTCCCGTTAACCCCCTCCCAGCCCTCCATGTGTCTCTATACCCCCTCCCAGCCCTTCATGTGTCCTTTCCAGCCCTCCATGTATCTCATTAGTTCCCCCCCCCAGCCCTCCATGTGTCCCTATACCCCCTTCCAACCCTCCAGGTGTTCCTATACCCTCTTCCCAGCCCTCCATGTGTCCTTTCCAGCCCTCCATGTATTTTTATATCCCCCTCCCAGCCCTCAATGTGTCCCATTAGTTTCCCCCAGTTCTCCCTTTCTCCCATTAGTTCCCCAGCCCCCATGTGTCCCATTAGTTCCCAGCCCCATGTGTCCCATTAGTTCCCAGACCCCATGTGTCCCACTAGTTCCCAGCCCCCATGTGTCCCATTAGTTCCCAGCCCCCATGTGTCCCATTAGTTCCCAGCCCCCAGGTGTCCCATTAGTTCCCAGCCCCCAGGTGTCCCATTAGTTCCCATCCCTCCATGTGTCTCTATACCCCCTTCCAACCCTCCAGGTGTCCCTATACCCCCTTCCCAGCCCTCCATGTGTCCCTATACCCCCTTCCCAGCCCTCCATGTGTCCTTCCCAGCCCTCCATGTATTTTTATATCCCCCTCCCAGCCCTCAATGTGTCCCATTAGTCGTCCCCCCAGCTCTCCCTGTGTCTCATTAGTTTCCCCCAGTTCTCCCTTTCTCCCATTAGTTCCCCCCCCAGCCCCCATGTGTCCCATTAGTTCCCAGCCCCCATGTGTCCCATTAGTTCCCAGCCCCCAGGTGTCCCATTAGTTCCCAGCCCCCAGGTGTCCCATTAGTTGTAGCTGTAGCATGGCTGAGCAGGCAGACCGTGGTGGAGGAGCTCCTGCTCACTGTACCCGGTCTGACAGGAATCAGTCGTGCTCTCTGTGAGCACTTCCTGTTAGACCGGGTAGGGGAACAGGAGCTCCTCTGCCACGGTCTGCCTGCTTGGCCACGCTACATTCTGTGACTGGCAGGAGGGGAGAGCAGCCCCTCCTGCTGGTCACCCTGTAATTGTGCCTTGCGGTGCGGCCCGCGGGCTGGTGCACACTAGGCAGCCACACACTGGCCCGCTAGTATGCTGGCCCACCTGGAAATTTCCCGGTGTCCCGGTAGGCCAGCCTGGCCCTGGTTATAAGGAAAGGCTAGAAAAACAAGAATTGTTTTCTTTAGCAAAACGACACCTCAAAAAGCACAGTTGTACTCAAAAGTTGGCATGTTAATTCTTGCAGGTGGTATAGCTGCTTATTTGTCTTGGTAATGCCTCCAGGTCATGCAAAGTCTTTTGTTGTCTTGCATGAACCACACGTTTGAGATCTCCCCAGAATGACTTGATGATATTAAGGTCAGGAGACTGTAATGGCCACTCCAAAAAAACTTCATCTTTTTCTTCTGTAACCACTGGAGCGTCAACTTGGCCTTGTGCTTAGGGTCACTATCATGCTGGAAAGTCCAAGAGTGTCCCATGCGCAACCTTTGTGCAGAAGAATGCAAATTGTCTGCTAGTATTTTCTGATACCAACGAAAGTTCCTTCTTAGGTGGGGAATTGAGCCAGCAGGACCCGAGACAAGAAGTCAAACTGTTTGAAAACAGTTTGACTGGTTACAGTGCGGGGGTCCAGGGCTCTCTTGGCAACATATTCACTACAGCAAACCAATAAAGTGGTTATGGTACAAAACAAACAAAACAGGTTGCGCTTGTGTGTATTAAAGGACCACTATAGTGCCCTGAGGGTGCCCCCACCCTCAGGGACCCCCTCCCGCCCGGCTCTGGAAGGGGGAAAGGGGTTAAAACTTACCTTTTTCCAGCGCTGGGCGGAGAGCTCTCCGCCTCCGTTACGCCCCGCCGGCTGAATGCGCACGCGCGGCAAGAGCTGCGCGCGCATTCAGCCGGTCTCATAGGAAAGCATTTACCACGCCACCTATGGACGGTGGCGTGCTCTCACTGTGATTTTCACAGTGAGAAGCACGCAAGCGCCTCTAGTGGCTGTCAATGAGACAGCCACTAGAGGATTAGGGGGAAGGCTTAACCCATTCATAATTATAGCAGTTTCTCTGAAACTGCTATAATTATGAAAAAAATGGGTTAACCCTAGAAGGACCTGGCACCCAGACCACTTCATTAAGCTGAAGTGGTCTGGGTGCCTAGAGTGGTCCTTTAAGTCCAATAAAACAATTCTTTGAAATATCCTGGCTTGGAATCGTCCAGGTTTCAGTATATGTAACAAAACAGAAAATAAACAGATAGTAGTACAGATAGTCAAATACTTTGTGTTGGACACACAACAAGGATATGTGGGATCACACTCACATTTGTTCGAGCTATAGACCAACTCTGAGTAAAACAGCGGTATATTCCCCACTGATGGATCTGTAGCTCCTTAAAAGGTAAGTCTCACAGCATCCAGATGAATATAAAAAGCAAACAATAGTGCCTACCAAGTAAAACAAAAAACAAGTAAAAATATAAATGGTAATTTACTCACATTTAGTAGAGCAGTAACACTACTCAAGAGAGAGTGCTTGCGTGATATGATCCTCACCAAGGATATAATGTTAACTAGATTCTCCTGAAGGCAATTTTTGCCAGGGATTGGATGTAGAGTAGATACTTCAGGAGTTTTAAATGTGCCAGGAACAATTCAAATAATATAAAGTATAATTAATGGTCTTGCACTATAAAATAGGTGTAAGCAAAATAAACTTTAATGTTTGAAAACAATATTAAAACACATGTAATGTGTTTCGCCAAACAATGGGCTTTTTCAAGTGTACACGTATTTGCTGTATAGTGGTTATGGTGCCTGGAGTTTTCCTTTAAAGGGTGAAGTCAACCTGTCGACTTTCTTGTTAACAAACTCCAACATTTTATTTTACAGACTGTATTGGAAACAGCCTGCCCGTCAGGGTATTCCTAAATCTCCACTCCGCATCATGGATACATGGCCTGCCCTGCCTGCCAATATCGACACTGCGTTTCAGGACCTTACAAGCAGGAATATCTACTTTTTTGCTGGTAGTTACATTTCAGTCTCATTAGAATACTATATATGACATAAACATGTGGCACATGTCAAAAACCTGCTCTGTTGTTCCAAGAAAACAAAATTACTTGAAATGAAAATATTTGTTGCAATTTAGTTTGCCTAGTTAGATCCAAAACAGATCGAAACATAGAATGTGACGGCAGATAAGAACCATTCGGCCCATCTAGTCTGCCCAATTTTCTAAATACTTTCATTAGTCCCTGGCCTTATCTTATAGTTAGGATAGCCTTATGCCTATCCCACGCATGCTTAAACTCCTTTACTGTGTTACCCTCTACCACTTCAGCTGGAAGGCTATTCCATGCATCCACTACCCTCTCAATAAAGTAATACTTCCTGATATTATTTTTAAACCTTTGTCCCTCTAATTTAAGACTATGTCCTCTTGTCGTGGTAGTTTTTCTTCTTTTAAATATAGTCTCCTCCTTTACTGTGTTGATTCCCTTTATATATTTAAATGTTTCTATCATATCCCCCCTGTCTCGTCTTTCCTCCAAGCTATACATGTTAAGATCCTTTAACCTTTCCTGGTATGTTTTATCCTGCAATCCATGAACCAGTTTAGTAGCCCTTCTCTGAACTCTCTCTAAAGTATCAATATCCTTCTGGAGATACGGTCTCCAGTACTGTGTACAATACTCCAAGTGAGGTCTCACCAGTGTTCTGTACAATGGCATGAGCACTTCCCTCTTTCTACTGCTAATACCTCTCCCTATACAACCAAGCATTCTGCTAGCATTTCCTGCTGCTCTATTACATTGTCTGCCTACCTTTAAGTCATCAGAAATAATCACCCCTAAATCCCTTTCCTCAGATGTTGAGGTTAGGACTCTGTCAAATATTCTGTACTCTGCCCTTGGGTTTTTACATCCAAGATGCATTATCTTGCACTTATCCACATTAAATGTCAGTTGCCACAACTCTGACCATTTTTCTAGTTTACCTAAATCATTTGCCATTTGGCTTATCCCTCCTGGAACATCAACCCTGTTACATATCTTAGTATCATCAGCAAAAAGACATCCCTTACCATCAAGACCTTCTGCAATATCACTAATAAAAATATTAAAGAGAATGGGTCCAAGTACAGATCCCAGAGGTACCCCACTGGTGACAAGTCCAAGCTTCGAATATATTCCATTAACTACAACCCTCTGTTGCCTGTCACTCAGCCACTGCCTTACCCATTCAACAATATTGGAATCCAAACTTAAATATTTATTGATAAGCCTTCTATGTGCAACATAGTCAAAAGCCTTACTGAAATCTAGGTAAGCAATGTCTACTGCACCACCCTGATCTATTATTTTAGTTACCCAATCAAAAAAACCAATAAGATTAGTTTGGCATGATCTCCCTGAAGTAAACCCATGTTGTCTCTGATCTTGAAATTCATGTGTTTTTAGATGTTCAACAATCCTATATATATATATATATATATATATATATATAGTTCATTCTGAGAGCATCTTCTGTGTGTGTTAGCTGCTAAGTTGGATTTAGCAGTTTAATAAGATATATATACCTTCTTGCAGGACGCAGATTCTGGCAATATACCGGTAACAATGTGCTGGGCCCACTCAGTATCGAAACACTGGGTTTGGGAAAAGATGTCCAGGCTATCGTGGGAGCCATTCCCAGAAATAATGGAAAGGTGCTGTTATTTAACAGGGAGAAGTTTTGGAGGTGAGTAGAGAACAAACGGCACTCGATAATAATCACGTCTAGTGAATTATGGAAACCGACCGTTTATATGGAAACCGACCGTTTATAGCGCAGCTGGAGGTTGTATTACAGAAATTAGAGCCCCTATAGTCAGCAGGTTGGCGGAGAAGGATTTATTGTTCTGCAGGAGAGCATTTAGAGATTAAAGGGGAACCATTTCCTCCCAGGATATTTAATGTTATGCTAGGATATAGTAATTTTGTACACTATGTGGTTCTGCTATTATCTTTTTCACCCTCTTAACAGACTTGATACAAAGACACAAACTGTGGACAAGGGGTACCCAAGAAATACAGATGAAGAATTCCCTGGTGTTCCGGTTGAATCCCATGATGTTTTCCTATATCAAGGTAAATGGACATAGCTAATAATAAGCAGCAACAATGCTTTTACTGTGCAAGCATAGCCCTCTGGATGGTACCATGAGTTCATCAAAGGATGCCAGGTAGTGATGCCTGAATTCTCCAGCCATTAAATAATCAATAACATGTATTGAGTAGAAACCATATATTCAGGGTTATTCACAAAATTGAATTTCAAAGTAGTAATCACCCTGTTTCTCATTTATAAACATATATGACTCTCTCTTCATACATTCATACCAATATGGTAATCAGGAGGGCATGATATCAGCACTGAGAATTTCAGTCAATTCCTGCTTTTGTTTTACTAAATGTATCCGATGTATAGAATGTTTCATGTGCTGTCTTCCTTCGCATTCTTTTTGAAGGTAGCAAGTATGGCACTGTTCTTTACTACTTTTGTATACCAGTTTTACTGAATGTTTATACCTCTTTGTGTTACAACATGATGTAAGAGTTATAAATAAATAATAAAAACCTCTACGTCCGCTGTAGTGGTTATGGTTTCCGACAGTGCCTGGTGACATCCCACTGACATTTGTCAAACCACTTTAGAGTGGTTTAACAACCTACCTTGGTGCCCGTGGCTGCAGCCCCTGTTTCTGGGATACTCTTACAAGAGCCCAACATAATTAAGCTGGGTCCTGCTTCAAAGCATCCATTAGCGGAGATCGCCAACTGAGCTTTCTCTGCAAATGAGTGCGATCGTGTATCAGCGGTGTATAAGTAAATGGAGTCCTCTTGCTTCTCCTGCAGGAGAACCACAAATGAGGCCAAGGACACCTGGGAAGCCAAGTAAATAGTCGAACCCCATTTTAAAACGGTTTGACAAATTACACTTGTCGCAAGGACCCATTGTTGTGGTTATGGTGTTTGGAGTGTTCATTGAAGGGTTTATTTTTTTTAAATTCTTTATTTTAATTGACCATGGAGTTCAAGGGTTTATTTTTAATGTAATTATTGTATTTTCTGTGTTCTTGCAGGTAAATTTCACTTCTGCCAGGAGCAATATTTCTGGCGCATGACATCACGCAAGCAAGTAGACAAAGTTGGATATGTTAGTCATGACATCCTGCGCTGCCCCGAGAACTAAAGGAGAGGGGTGTGAACAAAGGCTGGTGGTGAAGGTGTACGATAGGTGACAACATCAGAATAGGAATCATCACAGTATTTAGGTTGGACAGTAATGTGAGAAATGTGCGGGACCAACTCCCACCTTTTCACGGCCACCCCACTTACAATTACAATGAGCTTAGAATTATCTGTGTAAAGGTGAATTCTTAATTTTGTTAAGCTGTATAGATGTGTGCTATGTGTGTTTGTGTGTAAATACAGCGTTTACCTCCTGTGCTGGCTGCTTCATAGTATATAAGTGATTGTGAATTGCTGTGCTCACAAAATGAGCAATATTTGAGCTTTACCGAACTTTATATGGCATATTGGGTTGTTTGTTTTCTAATAAAGATCAAGTTACTTTTTATAACAGTGTTTTATTTTTTTATTTGTTTTATTTTTTACATTTTTTATTTTGGACGTGCATAGATTAACAATCACATCTGCACAGCCACAACAGCTGGCGTAGTCTAAGCAAAGGTACATCACTTGACATAGATGCGGCTTCAGTTACAGGCACATTTTTTGTTAAGAGGCAGAAGCAGTAAGTAAGTTACAAATAACTACGCATGTCATAGTATGTGGGCTAACTTATGATAAACTAGCTAGGTTGGTATGTGTTATGTTGTGTTGTGTTATGCAGAGGTGCATCTGGTACACAGTCGTTCCATCCCTACATGCCATGCAAAGGAAAACGAAAACAAACATAAAGGCACATCAACAGGAGAGCAATTTTATATGTTGGGTGATCTCTCTAGATCAAGTTGCCGCCTTGGGGAAAACTGTAGGTCGGACATGCACGGGTGGTGTGTAGCTAGGCTATTGTGTGTGGAAGGAGAAAGCCACATTGCTGTGTGTTTTTACTGTGGCAAAAGTATGTGTGGGTGGCTATTTAGGTTAGATTCAGACGGGAGGGTTAGAAACTACGTCCGTGGACCACTCGTTCATGGGTGTATAGTGTATTTACACCTGCATTTTATGGGAATAATACTATTTAAACTGTAAAACCATGGAAACATTGAAACAACTCGGGTATCCCAGTACATTGCGGCATATTGGTTGCCTCAGGTAGTCCCTGCAGCGTTTTGAGTGTCCCTGGGTCTGTGTGGGACGAAGGGGATCACCCCTTCTGGGTTCCATTGGTGAGTTGGCTTGCTTGTTCCCAGGGTCTCAGTGGTGTGGAGGGAGTCCTGTGGAAGTCCTAGAGTGGACAGCAAGGTTGCCGCTTCTCGTAGGTCTCGGACTTCGTGTTTGTTGTCCCCGTGTACGACTTGCAGTGTTCGGGCCTAGTGCCATCTGTATCTCAGTCCTTCTTTTGTAGGAGTGTAGTGAAAGGCCTAAGTGACCTCCGCCAGGCAAGTGTGCCCCCAGTGAGGTTTGCAAAGATGGTTAACTCCATTGATTCGAAGTTAAATGGCGAACAGTCCTTGGTCGCTGCTATCACTGCTGCTTTGTCGGAAGCATAAGACGAGGTCCTGAGGCGCCGAGGTCTGTGCTTTAGCCGGTTTCGGGGCTCGGAAGAAGCCGTGTCAGTAAGTGTGGCATCTCTGCCGTTGGAGTGTTTTCCGGGATTCCCCCGGATTTTTATGTTGTTGGCCCGGTGTGCATCCTCCAGGGCCGCAAAGCGGCATTCATGCGCCTCATTCTGTCGTGGAGTCCCCTGACCTCCTGCTGCAGTGTAGTGATTTGGTCTGTGCAGTCACTGGAAGCAGACTCTAAGGCTCCCATTCGACCCGTCAGACCCTGGATGTCGGCCCGGAGTGTTGCGACATCCGCCTGGATCGTTTTCTGTAAGTCTGCAAGTACGGGTGAGTTATCTATTTTTTAGGCGCCCGGGTTTGGTCTCTGTGCCAGTGGTAATTCAGCCTTTTTCGCCTCCCGAGGAAAAGTCGTCAGATATCTCGAAGTAGGTTTCAGGATAGTCGGCCATTTTAGGCCCATTGGCTTCGCGTGTTTGCCGCAGAAATTCTGCAATGTTAGGCCCTTGTCTTGGTTTGTCCGGCCTCAATTTTTTTGTTTTACGACCCATCTCGTCCTCCTGTCGTCTTCAGCGCCAGGTATGACCCCAAATAGTGATTTGGTCGGTCCAACTTGGTGGATTTGGGCCCACAAATGCAGGAGCTCGTGTGCCATGCCACTGTTCAGCTCAGGTGCTAAACTCTACCCCCTCCTATTACAGTGTTTTTGTGTGTTGTGCCTTCTGTAGATCGATATCAGTTTCAGATTCCCTGGTAATACTGAGAGAGAGAAATAACACCTCTAATTATATAAGTAGTGACAGTGCCACTTTAACGCACCATATTTGGACTTCATTGTATTGCTGTGGATGCAGGTTTAATACACAACTTGAGAATAATACATCAGGTGTGGACTTTATAAATATAGGTTTATTTGATACACAAATATTTTGAAACTGTATCTTTAAATTAATTCATTTGTAGAACATTTTATGGTTGGACATAGGGTATGGTACAGGGTAGGGTTTTGGACAGGGCTGATGTCACTATATATGCAAAGGGGGGTACAAATTACAGCTTGGCTGAAGCCCCTGGTTCTTTTTGCCATGGAGTAATGTATAGGTACATGGATAAAGCAGGACTGCCAAACTTGGCTGTAAAACATTAGTTCAAGTGTTGACTTCAAAATGTGGAGCATCTTAACAACAATGCCATAATGACACTGCATTCATTGGAGAAAAGCAATCACTGCAGACTCTGGGCACTCAGCTTCATTCATGAAAAACATGAATTACATTATTGATATGTAAAGCTAATAAAAGCTGAGGCTTCTACTATTTTGAGTGCGACTTCTTTCACGGTTTTAGATGGCTACATATTAATGTTGGGGGGGAAACCACTCGATTTCATCAGGTTAAAGCTTTCACATGTTGGTTCTGCTGTTTATCCAAAAATGTAAAAAAAAAAACCCACTAATTTGCTCCTTTATACACTAAGACACACCAACAAAATGGAGCTCCTAGAAATCTGGACATTCGGTTACAAAAGAGGGACAGTGAGATTTGGTCAGCATATAGGGACTGTATCTCCTAAATAGGGACACTTTAGAAGTATGGTACAGGATACCATAATGACAAAGGGTGCACTGTACCCCAAGAGTTACAGGTGATTACAGTGGGATTAGCGACTTAAAAAATTTTTTTAATTTTTTTTTTAAAAAAACTTGAAAATTCCATTAAAAATGTCAACCACAGCGACATGAAATGCATACCTTCAATGTGCCATGGAACATAATGTTTGTGATTCTCACCCAGGCAAAGTCTGTCTAAGATTAATGAGTTACAGACCACATCATCTTTAAAACAGACTGTCATCACTCATATCCAGGCAGTGGCGGATCCAGAAGCTAATCTCGGGAGGGGCACTGGCAGTTCATTTTAAGAAACAATCCAGGCACAATAACCACTACAGCTCTCTGTAGTGGTTTTGGTGCCAGGAGTTGCTGTGGCGCCCTCCCACAGTAAGTAGTCAAACCGTTTAAAAAAAGTTTGATAACTTACCCAGGGTCTGCCGGGATAGGGGCTGTAGTGTGTATGTGTGTGAGGGTCGCAGTATGTGTTTGGAGGGATAGTTCATGTGTGAGAGGGGTGCAGTGTATGTATGGGGTAGCAATTTGTATATTGGGAGCAGTGTGTTTGTGTGTAAAGGATGCAGTGTATTTTCTGTGTGTGTATTAGGGCTATGTGTTTATGGGGGGGCAATGTGTTTATGGGTGGTTGTGTGTGGAAGAGGGGGCTGTGTGTGGAAGGGAGGTCTGTATATTTGTGTGTGGTGCAGTGTGTAGAGGGTTATAGTTTGTGTGAGGGGATAGGGGGGCAGATTAAAGATATTTTTTTCTTAAATTATTATATAGCGAAATAAATATAGATAATGTCTCCCTTCCCTTCTTACCTTTACTGGGGGAGGGAGATACATTGCTTTCCAGTCCCTGGTGGTTCTAGTGAACTCTAACCTGCAGCTCAGGCTAAAGTTCATTCTCGCGAAAACGGAGCGTTGCCATGTTAACCGCGGCAACGCTCCGTGCTCACGAGAGGAGAACCCGGCGGAGCTGCAGGTAAGAGCTCCCCCAGGTTCTCTCTCTCTCCCTCCCCTGCCAGCCGTCCAGCAATGTGCCTGTAGGCCGGAGAGGGAGATCACTGATCTCCCCTCCGGTACATGATGGCAAACAGCAGGGCTGGCGCTTGGATTGTGCCAGCCCTGCATGGGCTGGCAGGGGAGAGCCTTGGCCTCAATATTTTCTCGGGGGGGGGGGGAGGAGCAGGACAATGCCCCGTTGCCCCCCCTGGATCCGCCAATGTATCCAGGCTGTGTCTGGCTGACAATCATGGATGTTACATTCTATGGTATATTGAATGCAGGTATCCTCTTAACCAGGGGTCAGCAGCCTAAAGTAGGCTGTGGAGATCCAAGAATCTCAGATCTCTTCCTCCAAGCGCTTGTGAACGAAAAATTGCACTGGCAGAGAGTAGCCCGCAGCAACTACTGCAGGCCCAGTCTGTGACCTAAACCTGTCCAGCCCAGGCCCTACTGGCAGCCAGAAACACCCCACATACAGCTTACGAAAAAGCCATCCCTCCTGCAATTACTACAAACAACCCACACACAAACACACTGGTTCATAAGCAGTCCCACAAACACAACACCACTGACCACCCACTTACACCCATACAACTCTACAAGCAGCATACACACAACACCACACAGGCATTACGACATATCACACACATAATCCCACAAGCAGCTCCCCCATACGCAGCCCACATTCACACACAACGTGATACACTGCGCATACGCAGCCCACATTCACACACAACGTGATACACTGCGCACATACACATGTAACACACACAATATGACAAAACTGCTTATACACAATATAACACAGCCCACATATGCACAAATACAACCCTACAATGCAATTGCAGCATCCATATATAACTCAAGTAGAATACGGCAACACATACAGAGATTTTTATTTTAAAAACAGGATTGTTTTGGCACACGTTGCCTAGCCCTGTTCTAGACCAATGTCCCTTCTAATGCTAAACAGCCGCTTAGAACCCCAGACATAACTATACATAAATCCCAACCTAACCTGGTTTCGAGCTTTGTGCTGTTGCCATTGGTGACATCAGCAGAGGGATTTTCCAGGATTATAACAGTCTGTGAGCACTGTGCACTCTCTCATGGCATAATGAGGGGTATAGCTTCCTCTCTGCGGCTGATTCATATTGTGACAAAACTGTCATAATAAGATTTTCATGCTCAGTTTGCAGAATTACTCTCAATCTGTGCATTGCAGTTTGCACACCCCAGCACCGATCACTGTGTGCTGAGTGAGCAGGTGGCTTGCAGAAAGACTAAATCAGGGTGTTTTCAGGGGAATACCGATCCGTAAGTGAACACAGAAATTCAGCAAGGGAAATTTTAAAAGGATACAGGACCATGTGTCAGTACATAGTATTAACCCATGATGTACGGGTGAAGTACTAAATTGCAGTGTAATATTTAAATTATACGTTGCGCATCTCAGAGCAGTGAATAGCGTTTTGTTTTTATGCTACACTAGAATCCATTCTGGAGCAGTTTTCCAGAATAGTATGAATAGTTGCAGTAGGCTTCACCAAACTCCAGCAACATCTGGAGGGCCGAACTACAACTCCCATGATTCTCAGCCTATCTATTTCATTCATAGAATCATGGGAGTTGTAGTTTAGCAACATCGGGAGGGCCGGAGTTTGGGGAAGAAGCCTGAGTTACAGGAAAGATTATAATAGAAATGAGATTGCACACTAGATAGCTCCAAAGAGATACAAATACGTGTTTTATTAGGCCACACAGGTTATAACAAACAAAAGGCAAATAAATTAATCAATGGCAATAACCACAACTTACACAAGCCTCTTCTGGCAGAAACACAAGCCCCTAATACCCCCAATGTTTTGGCACCTCCTGGCTGCCTTTCTTAAGGGTGTTACAGGGAAAAGTTATAAAAAAAAAAAAAAACTAAATACAAGGAATATATGGGACAATTTCAAATGGCAATAGAAAAGGTTACAGGTCCGAGATAGTTTAAACAAGGCGTTAATGACAGGTAGTGTTTTTATTGTGTTACATAAAACAATAGTCTCTTTTGAGGCAGTTCATTCTTTATAGTATTTAGAGCGTTGTGCAGTGGTTAGTAGAAAATCACCCACGGGACAATTTATTCTCTGGTACTGTAAAAAGAACAACATTTTACTAAATCCATTATTGATTACAATTTAATTTCTATTATGTAAGTTACCATGTTGTACCCATACACTACAATTCCATAAAAGGGACACTGTACCATAACCATGTTGTCTCATTGATTTGGTTATGGTGCCTGGAGTCCACGGACACTGTCCCTTCATTAATTTAACGCTGAACGAAACTATGGGCCCACGGGACTCTGGGTACTATAACTACTATAATGAGATGACGAACTAACAGTGCCTACAGTGTCCCTTTAATGCGAGCTTGCTAAAATTATCCCATTTCTCTCTTACTCTTTAAGGATTTACCGTATTTGCTTAGGAATATATAGTGCATACACAGGGGACCCTGCTCCTACGTGCTTCAAAGGAAACTGTAGAGAAGCAGGAAAAAATGCAGAAAGTTTGGAAATCCCTATTTATTAAATCGTGGTTTCTTTTTTGAATATAAATTTATATTTTGTGAATAAGTGACACATTTACGGTCGTACAGGCCCGCACAACATTAAGACAAAAAAATATTGGCGTAGCCAGACATTAAACACACTAATACAGGGTGAGTCACTTATACAAACGGTAAATTGATACTTGTTGATGAATGAATATTGAAACTCGCTTATCTTTACTTTCGTTTGCATTTACTCGTTATGAGCATGTTGATACAGGCTTACATGTGTATTCTGACAAACTGATAGAATCTCATATGTTTAAGCTAATGGCACCACGCAGTCATGCCTAAATAGGTCCAAACAAACAAATTCAGAATGACACATACATTCAGACACAGACTAGACAAAATCGGTTCTTGTATCACAGTGAGAACTTCGCATTGTTTTGATTCATCCACTTGTGGTTTTATTTTATTTTTAGCATATGTAGAGTCACAAACAAGGACAAAGAGGAAGTAATGTAAGCACACAGGATGCTGATAAATTAAAAAGTGTGGTTGTGTGCTGCTGAGATAAGGTGTGTGGTTGTGTGTTGCTGATACAAGGTGTGTGGTTGGGTTGTGCTGAGTAAGGGTGAATGTGGCTGTCTGTTGCTGAATAAGGTGTGTGGTTGTGTGTTGCTGAGCCAGGCTATAAATGTAAACGTGTGTTGTTGATTCTAGCTGTGTGGCTGTTTTGTAACATTCTTTCTGACCTTTAATAAACTGCATTGTATTTCATATATAGTTGTCTGTCTGTCTATCTATTCGTCCCTCCTTCCATCCTACCTTCTTATCTTGATAATTAAATCATGAATTACTGAAGCCCTTATAACACAATATCAGTTTTCAAGACTATTTCCTGTTTTAAACATATGCTTTATATTAGTGATTTACTATATTTATTTTCTGTTATACCCTTATAATTATACGCATTCACACTATAATATTTTTAGCCGAACTGATAGCTTAACAAACTAATCCGACGAGAAAAATACAAATTAAATTGAATTCACTGTTTAGTAGCTATACCCCCAATGAAAACATTTATGCATTTACTTATGTAATTTTTCATTGGGGTTATATATATATGTCTCAAGCCTTTACAAGCCCACCCCTTCTTCCCCAGCCCAGACTTTCTATGGGGGTCCAATCATAGACTTCCCAATACAGCTCAATGAGAAGTCTTTACAAGGCAGGTGCAGGTGCTGCCTTTTGTGTTTAGCTCCACTGAGCTAAGGAAACCAGGAAGTAACAGGGCCTGTTGTTTGATTGGCAGCCAGGTGGATGTAACAAGGTTAATTTATATGGAGTGCCAATTTCCATAGAAATCTTAACTTTTTGTAAAATAACAAGATGACACATTATTCACACTTAAAGCATTTCAGGAAGCTAAAGTGCAGTTGGCAACTGGAGTGTCCCTTTATTTGGTAGTAACAAGCTTACTATTGGATAAAAGGAGATTTTTTTTTTTCCTTTCAAATTAATTTTCTAATCCAAAAACAAATAAAGTAAAGGGTGAGGAAAGTTTTGGTTCTAAATCTGCAGCACACACTAGTAAAGAAGACTTAATACAGGTATCGGAAAGACAATAAGAGGATCTGAGACTAGCCAGAGCTGTTACCTTAAAATCAGTCCAAGGAGCAGACCGTAAGAATATCCATGAGTTTAAGCCAGAGTAGTCATCATGAAATAAGTCTTGAGGAGCTGAAGTATGCACAAAGGAAAATCTCAAGGGGAAAGTGCTAGTCAAGCCGTAAAATCCAACCAATAGCTAACATAGAAAATGGCAAAGTACTGTATATCATGTTGACGTCGTTGTCCAAGGGTTCTATTCAAAGGAAACTTTAGTTTGAAGAGGAAGGGAGTGTGGAAGAGGATACAGTGAGGTCCATGAAAGTAGAACCTGAGGCAGGAGACAACAGTAAAGCATATGATCCGGACAAAGTATGCGTAGAGGCGCTGAGGGTATGCATTTAAATTCCCATGCATTACATTACGTGTCTCATAAAGCTGCAGAGCAAGATTCTAACAATGCTTCTTAAAATAAAATATAAAACTATTGACTATACACAGAAGAATGACAACCTATTCCTCCCTCCAAGAGCTAATTCATTGAGCTTTTGGGTCTCAATGGAAAGAAGGGAGGTCATGATCATGAATATTGTAATGAGAGACCCACTCATTATGAAAATCATTGTATTCCTTCCACTTAATTAAAAATTCTAATTAAAATCTGCTGTATAGTATCTTGGAGTCAAGAATGTCTTCAACCTCGTATCCATCTTCATTGTTCACAAGAATAGGAGGAGGAGCAACAACAGTCTTTCGATTTAGATGAATTGGAGTGGTATAGCATTAGTAAGAAAAAAAAAATGAAAGACTTGCTACATTCCATATAATCTAAGTAAGTGTATAGGACTTCCCAGAATTTTCAAATGTTTGTGCTATGGGTGTCAATAGGTGTTCCCCAACAACTGAACAATAAAAAACAAAAAAACACAATGTGACTTAAGACTGTGTGCTTCGATGAAAAAGGAACGCACTTGATTATGGGCATAATCATGCACAGGACCCATCAGAGACACTGAGAAAGACTCTTTGAAAGTCGAAACGCGTCTGATCTCTGTTCTCAAGGACTATTTATTAATTTATTGCTTACAAGATACCTGTATTTATATTGATTTTATTTTTGTCCTTTTTTGCAAATAAATGTATATTATTGAACCTGGTGCTACTGATGTCCAATATTCTTTGTGGATTCTCCATTTCAAGCTGGCCACAGGTGGTTTCCATTTGCCTTCATAGACCGCATTTAGCGCATTACACAGAGCCTGGCAAGGCTCTGTAATCCATGAGTGCAACCATTGCTCATTTATATACCTATTTTATATCTACAGTACACACTGTGTAGTACGTTTTATTGTTGTAGGCTCTGCATTTGATACTTATCAACCAGCAATGCCCCCTAGTATTCTATTTCTATTTATATATATAGACAAACTGTATGAGGGTGTATTTTACATTGTGCTAAGTCACATTGTGTTTGTTTTGATACATTTCATGCCTCCGCACCATCCTGGTTTTGGCAGGACAGTCTGGATTGTAGGGTCCTGCCCTACCATCTTGGCTTTGTTTCTCAGTGTCTCGCTTTTGGGGACACAGGGAAACTATCCACACAAACTGTAGCGCAAGCGCATCATTAGACACAGTGAAACAGTGCTCCCTGCCAGTCCTGCTCTCAGTCAGCTGGGTTGCTTAATTGTAAGCCAACCTAGCATTCAATCGTGCCACTGACGCACCCCCTTTATGTTCTCCCACCAATGTTGCACTTCTCGGGATGCCAATGTTTAAGGGTATGTGATTTTTAGGGTGGAAAAGTGTGAGTGTTTTTCATATGAGGATTGAGCTAGCTCAAGATTGCATTTGATGTGTGAGATATTGTCATTTATTTGATCAACCTAGTCTTTTACGGTTGGGTTAGCAATGCTATACAATCATATCCAATTGTCTTGATAGTTTAAATAAATTCTGATATATTGTCCATTGAGTCTTTCAGGGTGGCCATTGATTTGGGCATGGAAAACAGTAGACAATTTTCGATTGGAAGGGTTGTTCTTTTATGAAAATTTAGAGGGCCATTTGGGAGTGAGGGCAGAGCTGTAAAGTTAACCATTTTGTCAATATGTTGACAATTGTCAAAATTGAAGTGTTTCATTCTGATGGAGAAAGGCCAAGTATAAAATCCATATTATTGAATTCCGAGGCTTAGAAGTTATAGGTAGAGGTTTTAACAATCCCACAGTCAAAGAGTGGGACAACTTTTTTCTTTGTAAGGGGTCAGATTTCTATGTGATGGTAGATGTCATGGAGAAAGCCAAAGAGATTTACCTCAAAGGTTGTACAAATTCATAGTCATACCTAGGTTTCACAGCACCCTGGGCCAAAATGAATTTTGACACCCCCTCCCTCACTGTGAAATACAAATGTCTCCCTCTACACCAACCCCATTTTGTTAGTGAAATTACACGATTACACACGTATAGTGTGAGATCCCCCTTTCCCAGGAAGTATGCTACTGGTAAAAATAAGTGTTCTTTTCAGATGTTCCCATGTAGTCTCTCAGAAACAGCACTTCTCGTTTCTCTTTATTATACCTAAATATACATACATCATATCTCATCATTCAACATCAGGAAGTGAATTACCCTTCTCATCAACAAAATGGTCCCATCGCTCACTTTTCAAAGGAAATGTGAGTGCCCTAGTTCCACAAATGATCATTAGCATTTATTTTTTTACATAGCCTGTCTAATGACATCATTTTGGTGAATTTTTGTAGTTGTTACCACTGATCTTATTAAATGAACTATAATTCATCTGTTTCCCTGTCACATGTGACATCAACCACATTAGTAGTGAAAGATATGGATGTCACATGTACATCTAAATAACAGTAGAATTCCTTGTAGAATATCTGTATATATAAATCTGAATTAAATTCATTTAGATGCCCAAATATAAACAACTTGTACTTTTTACAGTGACATGAATTGTGTGAAGTATTTAAAGTGGGCCAATCTCCATGGAAACCAGTACAATCAGCAGGTTCATTCCATTGGTGAATTCTCCCCATTTACATCTTGGCACCACTTATTATAACATGACCCTACAATGTACAAATGAAGGGAGTCAAGCTCCAATCCTTTGCTTTTCAAATTAAAAACATCCCTTTGTTGTTGCTTTTCTCTAATGAATGAAACAAACTAAATAGTGAAAAATGATGTCGGCAAGAGCCAGTTACAAAGTCGACAAATGGTAGATGACGAAGCAGGCAATCAAAGAGTTTTATGAGTGATACGCATACTTAATCAAGATTAATACATTTCTAGGTCAGTGTAAGATTGAAAGATGGAGACCCACCCACACAGGCTTGTAAATCACAGGTAAAGGGAATTCATTCTTTATCTATACCAGTGAAGAAATGTCAAACAAGATGCCACCCTAAGTTACACAAGTCAATAATTGATTCACACCCCTCTCCGAAATAAATAACCAATGTGATAGAATGTGAAAGAACAAACTGGCATATAAAAATACACTTTGGTTACAAGTCTCCTGCCTCATCTGCATCCTGTAATGCTTTAGACTTGATATAGGGAGGAACTTTTTTTTTCTCACCTCAATCCTGAGGCAAGATTGGGGAAGCCATATTTAAAAAAAAAAAAAAAAATGTAAAATAAATTAAACAACAAATATATTGACTAAATATCTAATGATAAGGTCAGTCAGGGACAAAGAAAACATGATAAACTGTAAAATAAGCCAAAATGTCAAGAGCACCGAGATTAGGATAATCCCTTAGCAAGTCAAGGTCAGAACCAAATAAAAACATGCTATTGGGTCAGCAAGAACAGGACACCTTGCCAATGGCAGGAGAGGTTTAAATAGCCCAAGGCTTAACACCATTGGTTCCCGTCATACCCATGCACCAGAAGGTACGGTAATGGCTAGACACTGGTCTCGGGTCCATATTGACACCAGAATGACACAACCGTGGACCAGTTTAAGTGTTTGTGTCATTGTAGCGTGTGGTCTCAGAAATGATGCCAGGTGGGAGGAAAATGCCCTAGCATGTGTGCCGGTATGTTTATGCAAATTCCATTTATTACATATCCGAACGTGTTGTGTTTCATAGTTCTACTTCATTAAACAGGCCACTCTTCATTTGCACATTTTCCTTGATTTTGTGTTCCTTTTGCTTTGGTAATAAGAGGCAGGTGAGTTTAGACAAGGAATGGAGAATATAGTCTGAGCTTTTTTTCAGTAGCAGTTTTAATAATAGAGTCAGAAAAACTAGGCAATAACTGAGATACAAGATGACCACCTTGTCAGGTGCACAAAATGTCAGTAGAGTCTACTATGGACCGCTCCACAGAACTTTGTTGGTAGAATTCCATGGAACATTGGAACTGAGGAAGCAATGTGACAAATACATACTGGAGGAACGCGATATATTCTGCAAACTTGTAGTTTTAATTACATGGATGTTCAAGCAAAGCAATACCAGACGTGATAGAGTTAAGACAATATTTGAAGTTTAGTCTAGTGGTTTAGCATATTAGCTTCCAGGTAATGTGTGCAGCAGGTTAACAAGGAAACAGGACACCTATATTTTCCCCAGTATTTGGAAGCTCTCTGTATGTACGTGTATGTGTTTTTCTTTTTATTCTTATAAATATCTATGGGTTAATTTTTTATTTGTGTTTAACCGCTGCTTTTAGCCAAATTTAAGCTTTTTTTTTTTTGCTTTTTTTTTTGTCGACAGCACTAAATCTGACTCAAGAGGAAGTGGGTCAAATTCTTGGAAAAACTTGAAAGGACAAACTTGATGGCCTTAATTTGTTTGACCTATGTTATTAAGTATCAAGGTTGGCCAAACATAAGACCCTCAGCATTAAGGCTGCCAAAGCATCATGGGAGTTTTAGTTCTGCTCATGCAAAACTGGAATAAGGAATTTAACATTTCATAGACACATCTATATAATACTTTTTATTTTAATCCTGATGGGGACTTTTAATAAGCTCAGTTTAATAGTTTTTATTTACTTGAAATGTACCATGTTTTTAAGGGGACACCAAAACAACTTCAGGTTAATGAAGCAGTTTTGGTATATAGATCATGCCCCATGCAGTCTTACAGATTATATTCCTGCCATTTAGGAGTTAAAGCAGCACTGTCACCCCCTGAAACATTTGTATTTATTAAATTATTATGAAATACTAATTTTGACTGTTGGGATTTTGCTGAAATTCCAGCCCAATCAAGAGATATACAGTGACGAAATAAGGACTACTTTGTCTGTGGATATTTCCTCCGCCTGACTTTCTTAGACTCTGGGCAGATTCAAAGTGTCAATCCCAGCAGCCATCACCAATAAACACTGCAGGGAATTGGCTCTGTCTATGGAGGATCCCACGGACTTGTGGGATCCTCCATAGACCTCAATGCTGTATTCTCACTAATGTGCTGAAGAGGACCTGCCGGAAGATGATGACTGCACCCGCGAGCAGGGGCGTTTTAGCCGCGAGGCAAACAAGGCATTTGCCTTGGGCAGCATTTTTCAGGGGGCGGCAAAAAACGCCGCTCCCAAATGCCCACGGAAAATGCCTTGTTAGCCTTGCGGCTAACTGACATGCCGAGCGGGCGGGCGGCGCTGGGCGGGCGGCTGGCGAGGGAGCTCTTCCTCTGAGCTGTCCGCTCAGCTCCCTCGTGCGCCACAGAGTGAGGCTGGGAGCCGGAAGATGACGTCATCTTCCGGCTCCCAGCCTCACTCTGCGGCGCGCGAGGGAGCTGAGCGGATAGCTCAGAGGAAGAGCTCCCTCGCCAGCCACCCGCCCAGCGCTGCCCGCAGCCAATGTGGTAAATAAAAATTTTTAAAAAAGTGTTAATGTGATTGTGTGTTTGTTAGTGTGTCTGTTAATGTGTGTGTGTGTGTCTGACTGTGAGTGTGTCTGCTAGTGAGTTAGTGTGTATGTGTGTGTCTGACTGTGTGTGTCTGTTAGTGTGTATGTGTGTGTCTGTCAGTGTGTGTGTCTGACAGTTTGTGTCTGTTAGTGTGTATGTGTGTGTCTGACTGTGTATGTGTGTGTCTGTTAGTGTGTGTGTGTCTGACAGTTTGTGTCTGTTACTGTGTGTGTGTCTGACTGTGTGTATGTGTGTGTCTGACTGTGTGTGTGTGTGTCTGTGTGTCTGTTAGTGTGTTTGTATCTATTAGTGTGTGTGTGTGTGTCTGTTAGAGTGTGTGTGTGTCTGTTAGAGTGAGTGTCTGTGTCTGTTAGTGTGTGTATGCGTATCTGTCAGTGAATGTGTGTGTGTATTTAGAAGGCGGGGCGGGGGGAAGGGTTGGGTGGGGCTGGCGCGGGGGGGGGGGCGCCTGAGTTTTGTCCTGCCTAGGGCAGCACAAAACCAGGATACACCACTGCCCGCGAGGGACTGGTTCAGGTAAGTATCACCTTTACCTGTCTCCCCCTACCCCCCAGGGCCACGGACACAAGCGGCAATGTCACCGTCGGGAGTCTTAATTTGGCAAAGTCCCCAGACATTGATAGTGCAGCTTTAAATCACTTTGTTTATGCAGCCCTAGTCACACATTCTTCATAATGGCTAACTCCTGGGCCCCCTGTGACAGGGATCCTCTTGGCGCCCCCATCTTCGGGCGCCTTGAGGATCGGCCCGGCGCTGGGGGAGGCTCAAGAGACAGGGGCATTGAGCTACAGTTGTTTTGATGAATATAGTATCTCATTATCAACAAAGTTGTGGGCTACAAAATTAATAAGAGGAATAGAACATTTTAGTTACGAAGAAAGGCTTTAGTTTGGAAAACCGCCACTTCAGAGGAGATATGATCGCATCATACAAATAAATTTGGGGCCAATACAAACCATTGGCTGGAATCTATTATTAAAAAAGGACTATACATAGGGTTCTGGGTCACGCATTTAGACTGAAGAAATGGAGATTAAAGCTAAGGCAAAGAAAAGGTTTTTTTTTAAAGTAAAAACAATAAGGATGTAGAATTATTTGCCTGAAGAGGTGGTTTTATCAGAGTTCATACAGATGTTTAAACAGCAAATGGATGAATATTTGCAAAAACATAATATTCAATCATTTTTAATTAGTGGGTTAATAGCTTCTTGATACAAGGAGAGATCTGACTGCCATTCTGGGGTCAAGAAGGAATTTTTCCCTAGTTTGTTACAAAATAGGAAGCACTAACCTTTCCTGGTAAGTTTTAGTAGCCCTTCTCTGAACTCTCTATAAGGTATCAATATCCTTCTGTGTACAATACTCCAAGTGAGGTCTCACCAGTGTTCTGTATAATGGCATGAGCACTTCCCTCTTTCTACTGCTAATACCTCTCCCTATACAACCAAGCATTCTGCTAGCATTTCCTGCTGCTCTATTACATTGTCTGCCTACCTTTAAGTCATCAGAAATAATCACCCCTAAATCCCTTTCCTCATATGTTGAGGTTAGGACTCTATCAAATATTCTGTACTCTGCCCTTGGGTTTTTACGTCCAAGATGCATTATCTTGCATTTGTCCACATTAAATGTCAGTTGCCACAATTCTGACCATTTTTCTAGTTTACCTAAATCATTTGCCATTTGGCTTGTCCCTCCTGGAACATCAACCCTGTTACATATCTTAGTATCAACACTGATGGACACGTCTCATATCAGCCTATGTGACTATATAACTATGATATCCCAGGTTTATTTTTAAATAAGAGCAATAAAATCAATAATATGAATTTATAAACCTGTGATTACATGTATTACTTTTACCATTGATCAGTATGTTTATAATGACGAAAATGGCTAAAGGTTAATTGAAGCTACAGTCCACAGCAACTTAAATACAAAAAGTTTCCTACATCCGTTTGTCCAAGTTCTTTGAATTATCTGTGCGAATCTCTTGCCTTGGGCTCTGCTTATTCTGAGTTATGTCCAATGTTCTTTTTTCTTCATGCCAACCTACTTCTGGTTCTCATTAGGTGGCATTCTACATACAAAAAAATGTGAAGTCTATGCTGCTTTTTTATGCTGTGCTGTGCTGTGCATGTACTTTCACATCAAAAATAAAAAATGTAAAAAAGAAAAATAATATATGAATCTGCCAATTTAAAGGTTTGGTTTTCACAGTTATTGTTAACGAATATATGCGAAACCAAAAGAAAGGCAACAGCATTCTTCAAAATAAAAACACGTCTTCAAGATCAGACCCAAAAGTACATTTTTATTTGGAACCAAATCTGCCGGCTAATGTTTTTTTTGTTTTTTTTTAAATGTAACGTATGCATGCTGGCAGTATTTAGATTGCCGACTTTAAAGTATTGTTTTTATGGTTTATTGTGCTAACACAATTTGCGATGAATAGACATGTATTTTTTATATATATATATTTCTTTTGTAAGAATATAGCCAGCAGGATGTGACTTCACTCTGTTTACACAACAGTGATGCAAGGTCTGTAGTTTTTATTTTTATGCTTTGTGACACATTCACACTAAACACTTCCACACTCCACCCCCCTAATTTGTGTGACATACTACCCCTTCCTCACACCATGTGTTACAATCCTGTGGTCTGAGGTTCACATGAATCATGCTCAACAGTGTATAAATAGTAGAGATAAGCAGAGGAGAGGTAGATTGGAGATATTGAGGCATAAGGAAAAACTGGTTGTTTGGGTGCCATCATGAAAGTGTTGTCAGTATTAGTCCTGGTGGGCTTCCTATGTGTTGGGACTCACTGCGCTCCTACACTCCAGAAGACCCCACTTCCTATCATATTCCCAGGAGAGATCCGTAACAACATAAGTGACCTACAACTAGCTGAGGTGAGTCCCATCTTTCTGTAACTGACCTCTATCTCTTTGTCCTCTATCTCTTTGTCCTTAATCTCTGTTTTCCCACAATTTCTGCTGTTTTGTGGCTATTTTGACCCTATATTTGTCCCTCACTTTCTAGATCCAAATGTATTTGTGAACTCCAGGCCCACTCTACCCTTTTCATGTTTATCTTTGCTAATAACATTGAAAACATTCCATTTACTATACTGTGACTGTCTAAAAAGCGCAGAATTAACCTTTCCAGCCCCCGAGAGATATGCTTAGCAATGTAACGGATTAAAGCTCTTTATCCACATATCTATATAATAACTTTTACCTTCTCCACTGGAAAGTTGTGGCATGCATTCACTGGATTCCTCTGAAAGCATTTCTTCACTGCAGATTTATAACATGTAGTCTGTATGTGAAAAATGTTAACTAAATTCCTTGGTAAATCCACCTTACCTCTCCCAAGCCATGTCGTGACTTGTCTTGCCTTGGTGCAAGCCAGATGTAATGATCCCTTGCGTTACCTGCCAAGCTTATCCCCGATTAAGCAGTGATTGATATGCCTCTGTTACATGTGCATTTGATTTTCCAGCTATTGGTGAACGCTGTCTCTCTCTCTGACCTCATTTAACACTTCCCGACTTACCCATCGTACACCTTTATAACACACGAATGCTTCCTTTATAGAACTACCTGCAAAGGTACGGATACCTGGGCTTGGAGCAGGGGTCTGAGAGCCATGTCTCCCTGCGGAAAGCCCTTAGCCACATGCAACGTAAACTGGGACTGCAAGAGACAGGAGATCTTGATCAAGAAACAATGGCTGCCATGCGAGCCCCTCGTTGTGGAGTGCCAGACATAGGCCAGTTCAACACATTTGAGGGAGAATTAAAGTGGGATCACCATGACATCACGTACCGGTAAGTGTTTATATTGAACATTTGAAGCCCTCCTTTAATATCTCATAATATCTCATCAGTTTATGTGCATGTGTGTGTGTATATATCTATATATATTTTTACATAATATGACCACTATTATAACAGGCTGGCCAGGCTAGAATCCCGTATTACACAGAGGGTGAAAATTTTTTTTCCTGTAATAATAAGGTGAAAATGCACAGGTCTTCTCTACGCAGTCAGGGACTTGAGTCTTGGACATATCACTTGCACAGGTCTTCTCTACGCAGTCAGGGACTTGAGTCTTGGACATATCACTTCTGAGTATCATCTACCACCATTTTAATGACGGAAGCTAAAATGGCTACTGCCTGGGACAGTAACTACTGCTAAGCTCATGAACCCCTACACTACTTTAACAATTATAATAAGCCTAACCTACAAACACAGCAGCAAAGCGTGTTTTAGGGAAAAATAATGCCACATCTTAGGTCTCATGCTCTCAATGGCATTTTTCCACGGTACACAGTTCACTATTAAGTATCCTCTCCCCTCTCTCTGTCATATATATATATATATATATTTGCGTGTGTGTGTGTACCACTGCCCTATTCTTATATTGACGTTTGCCCTCTGACCTGGAAAGAGTGATTTAATATATGTGACAGAGAAATCTCAATATTGATTGTTATTATTATAATGCAAATAAACCCTGTACGTGATGAGACTCGTAATATAAGACCATCATGTTTGTGAGATGTGAACAGATCTCGTCTACAATCTGCTTATAATTGAGACCAACGTCCAATGTGTGCCTCACGTTGCCCTTCGTAGCCTCATGTACGTTTCGTGTCTCACCCAGTGTTCTGAACTACTCCCCTGATTTGGACCCTGAAATCATAGACGATGCCTTTGCTCGCGCCTTCAACGTCTGGAGCGAAGTGACCCCCCTTACATTTACACGTATATACGATGATGTGCCTGACATTGACATCCTATTCGGATCTGAGAGTAAGTAGAAGTAGCAATAAAGTAATTATAACAAGTGACATCACAGAATGATGTCAGAAATGTCCTTACATTATTTTCCTTTAAGTAGCAATGCAATTGTAATTCTAGCTTGATGTTAGAATTTGGATGTGAACCTGTTACCTACAGGATATCATATCATCAACATTAAACACATTTTCTAACTGCCTCATTCTAGGGAGCAAAGAAGGAAAGGCAGTAGCAACATTCTAGTTTTAATAATAATTTAATAAAATTTGAATGAATCACAAAAAAAACAAGTAAGGGTCTTACATTAATTATGTAATCAATATTAACTTGGAATGGATCAATATTCTTATAATTTATGTATTAACACACCTTTATACATTTTGTGTGTGTGCGTGCATGCGTGAGCGCAAGCGTGCTCATGGGCACTGTTTTAACTAGGAAATTAAATTTTTAACTTTAGTCTGGGAGAAAAAAAAAACACTTTAGTTCAGCAAACTGAAGATTTATGATATATATTGTAATTTTACAAATCACTACTATTTTCTGTTTAGTGACTAAGTGCGTATATGCACATTTACCTGTATTAATAATGTATAAGCCTTGTTACTTCAGCCGTTGAGACCTACAATTTCCATAATCTAGATTGTGCATCATGTCAAATGTTCTCTAATTAAATACTGTCCCAGAGGTTAGCTGTGACCGACCTGTATCATATATCAATGCTGTGACAGATTGTGCAAAGTCGAAAGTCACATTTTTATTCGTCCTTACTTAAACAGATCATGGAGACCCTTACCCATTTGACGGCAAGGACGGCCTCTTGGCTCACGCATACCCACCTGGTAGTGGCGTGCAAGGGGATGCTCACTTTGATGATGACGAGTTCTGGACTCTTGGCACCGGAGTGGGTGAGTATCAGACCTTTAAAGTCTATAAAAATAACTAAATAAATAAATAAAAGGAAGGGGGAAAAAAAAAAACCTCTTAGAAATCAGACTGAAACTCAAAAACGAGCTTCTTTTCATATCTGTTAAATAATATTTTGATATGGTTTTATATTATTTATAACTGGCACTGCACGTAACACTGTGCACATTTTTGTTGTTACATAAGAGTTTATAATTACACTTTTGATGCCTGGAGCTCTAAGGAACAAAGACTGGCGTAACATCAAAGGGAGGAAGACATGTCACAGAGCGTTAACCAACAGAGATTATCCCTTTCTATACATAACTGTAATCTGCCTCTCTCACGAGGAGCTAAGTAACAATTGTCGCCCATCCAATATTCATTAGAAAACGTCCGTTTCTTGCTAAGATGTATCTGTTTAAAAATGATCTTTCTCTTTCAAACTGTAAAATGAAAGAGCAGCCCGAGACCTTATTATTTGCAGTTAAAAAGAATGTACATCGACCTCTCACTTGAATTTCTGCATAAAACCCCCCTTTCTATACGTCAAACAAAGCAGGTTTAAACAGGATCCCATCAGGGTGTCACAAGCTTTTTTTTTTTTTTTAAAAGGACAACTGTAACCTCAATATATATTTTCATATAATGATACTCTCATCAAGTTTTGAAAGGAAATAGACTCAGTGTTAAATGATGTAAAAAATGAGAAAGTCATCCCTACCTTTAGTATATCTTTCAGCCGTATACATATACCTTAGCTCAGACAATCTTTGAAAAACTCTATATAGTCTGTATGGTCTCCCCTGCTTTGCATCCTGCACAGTGCAGTGACATCAGACCAGATAATTGTCAAATTCAACACCGTCTGACCCAAGACGCCTTTATATGGCTGAATGATCCTGTCATATGATAAAGGTAGGGATGAGTTTTTCCCATTTTTTAAAATTTATTTTTTACATATACTTCATTTAACAAAGAATCAATTTCCTTTCAAAACTTGATAATAAAATATAGTGTTGAGGTGACATTTCTCCTTTAAGAGCAATAGAGACGTTTTTTACCGGGGTGTTCATGTATAGCGGCACATGGGTAATATCAGGTTTCAGGAATACAAAATCGTTTCTTCTTCATTCTTTAGCCACGTAAATGTGACCTCTCTCTTAAACACGCCACAGTTATTTTAGGAGAGGTCCCTTCGATTCCATTAACGCTTTCTCATATGATGTGTAAGATTGGCCCCTTGATACAATATTTACATGTCTGAGTCATCTCACATAGACTGCGGGCAGAAAGAAATCTTTTTTTTTTTTATTTCTTTAAAACATCATTCCCTTTAATATGCATATTTAAAAGTGGGGCTTTGTTATGTTATGTAAGGGCATGTGAGATGGGTCTCTCCTGAGATACTGATTTATGTAGATGGTCTTTCTTTGACTGTAGAGTAGAATATGCATACTCTCTATTACATATTCATGTGTGCATTGTTTTAAAAAAAAAAAATCTTTTTTTTTTTTTTTTTACCAGTTCTATCAATTGACGAGAAAGCATCTCTGGATGCCCTTGATTTATATTTTGATTGACTAGAACTTTTCAACCAAAATTATTCTTTGTTACATGGCTCATTATTGTCTTCTTAGTCTGATGCTAGATTGTCCTTGGTTTAACTCATCCCCCCACCCTGTATACATTTATGATTTCACAGTTAACAGACTCGATAAAATAAAATATTGCCCACAGATATATTAAAACGATATTTAAATTTATACAAAGAAAACACAACTCCAAGTGGTTAAATTTGATTAATGTCTCTTACACACTATGGTAAAGGGCAAAGTCTTACTTGCAACCATATGGCTTGAGATGAATTCTCATCGTATTAGAAATTCTTTCATCTTTGACCAGACAGAAAGACTGTGACCTCCAGCTATAGGTGAACTTTGTATTTTAAAATGTAAATTCCTTCTGTCACCTTCACGAGAAAACTGAAAAAGATTACATAAAAAACTAACAAACTCCAAGGGAAGAGGTAAAAAAATAAATAAAAAAAAATAATGGGCAAGACTGCATTTACGCAGGGGTGAGAGGGGCTTCCACCCATATCAGGATTAACAATAAGGTGACCTTAGGCGACCGACTAGGGTGCACGAGTTAGACAGGAGCCCTGGAAACATGAATTTGCTGGGCACCACCAACCAACCAAGTGAAGAATGAAAATGGGCCCCTTTGTATTGTAATTCTTCTCTGCTTCCAATCCAGGGTCCACAGTGTTTAGGGCAGATTTCAATCGACTTCACATACAGCAATACAGTTCCTCAAGACACAGAGATCTGTGCAACTTCAATGATGTGTATTTCATGGTACACACACTATGTGTGCATTTCCCTGGTGTACACACTATTTCTGATAGCTATGATGTTGCCCTGAAACATTCCTGAATGATGCTGGGAGTACCAAGGGAGCAATACTATATTTGTAATACAGTCAGTCTCTTACATGACTTTCTTCTTTATTTTCAGTTGTGAAAACACACTTTGGAAATGCAAATGGAGCTCTGTGCCACTTTCCATTCATATTCGAAGGCAAATCATACTCAACTTGTACAGCAGTTGGACGATCTGATGGACTTCCTTGGTGCAGCACAACCGCCAACTACGATGAAGACCGCAAATATGGCTTCTGTCCGAGCGAATGTAAGTACCTGAATAACAGTTTGAAATCTAAGGTAACAATGGTAACTAGACACCAAAATTATGTTTTTTTTAAAAAAAAAAGGAAAATCATAAATAAACCAACACAGGACACAAAAATCCTTATGGGTGTAAACAGAAACTTTAGAAAATGTTAGGGTAATACAGAGAGAGTTGGGTTGCCACCTACTGGTGTATAAACAAAAGACTGGTAACAATGTAACCTAGAGCTAATCATATTCTTGCACAAATAATTACGGACATGTTTTTCCAAACAAAATTCAGATAAACATTTAAACATATTCTGAAAATTTAATTATATTTACGTAAAAAGGGCTTGAAGGAGTCTTTTCGGCTTCATTTAATATACTACGAAATAAGCAGAGGTGACAATGAACTTTTAGGTCAAAATTTGCTATTTTCATTACTTTGGTCTTAATTTACTTTGTCCACTTTCAGTTTAGTGTATATATGTTTGAATACATCCTCATGGATATCAGTAGGCAGAAATATGCTTTACTATTTATAGTACTACATGAGTGGTTTATTAAGTTTTCCTTCAGTTAGTATTGTGTAAACTAAAATAAACTTAGGCCCCAATTTAATATCGTTAGATACGTTTTCCAAAATATTTCATATTTTTTGATAACTTTTTAAAATAATTTAATATTATGAAAAATGTTTACATTTTTTATATATGTTATGTTCTGATATTTCAATGCATTGTAACAGTCCTTTGAAACATTAATCCAAAAATATTACGATAATGTGATTTATTACATGGATATTGTTCTTTGGTATTTCTACAGTGCTTTTTACATATGGAGGGAACAGTAATGGAGAGCCCTGTGTCTTCCCCTATATCTTCGATGGAGAATCCTATTCTAGTTGTACCAAGGAAGGTCGTTCTGATGGGTATCGCTGGTGCGGTACCACTGCCAACTATGACACAGATAAGAAATATGGTTTCTGCCCCAACAGAGGTAATTCATTCCCTAGCATTCTATAGAATTTCTCCTCCATGATGTTGGGTTAAAACAGGTAGCCAATATGTATAGCTATCAGTAGATGAATATATAATAATGTGTGTCATAAGACTATGCCATAACATAGAAAAAGGCTAGTGATGATACCACTTTATATAATAGTGTTGAGTGTCACACTGAAATGGGACCAGATTTACAATGACTGTATTAAAAAAGGCAGATGGCCGACTTGGGGATTTTATGGATACAAATGTCAAAAGACTATTGATTGTGGCAGTACTTAACAGATGTCTTCTCTTTCAGACACTGCTGTGATTGGTGGAAACGCTCAGGGAGATCCTTGTTTCTTCCCATTTTCATTTCAAGGAAAAACGTATAATTCATGCACAAGTGATGGTCGGGGGGACAGGAAGTTATGGTGTGCAACCACCTCTAGCTACGACCAAGATAGAAAATGGGGCTTCTGCCCAGATAAAGGTTTGTAACCACCACTTTGATATGCCTTATCTCCAGAACATTTATCTCATCCCCAGAACTCACTCCATCACCCATTAACTCTCTCTACATCTGGAAGAAAGTACCATTTTGAAGCCACGCCAAAACATACTGTCCAGTTTCTCTTAAATATTCAAATGAATACAATGAGAGCACTATATTGTGTGTGGGGGGCCTTTAGTACATTGGTGGGTTATCATTGAAAATCCCCAGCTTAAAAATTCTCCACATCTCGTGGTGACTTTTTGAATATCACCTCCTGTGTTAATGAGAGTATGATTCCACATGTCCACCTGATGGATCTAGTTTATAAGTACATGTCCTCCACCTACAATATATAATATATCTGTGCTTTATCTATTTTTGATACCAATCTCTTTCCTACAGGGTATAGTCTGTTCCTGGTAGCTGCTCATGAGTTTGGCCATGCTCTGGGATTGGAGCATAGTGATGTCCAAGATGCTTTAATGTACCCGATGTACAGCTATGTGAGTGATTTCCAACTTCATTCTGACGATGTGAAGGGAATTCAGTATCTGTACGGTAAGTAGCAGTGATACGGTGTAAACAGTATATTTTGACACACAAATATACATAATAGGACAGAGTAAATTGAAGCCACCAAGCTAATCATCTAACATCATCTGTATAGTACACAATGTGGTACCATATCAACATAAGAAGATTCCTGACTGTATCATTCTTTTAAAACTAATCTGTAGAATTACCTCTGAAAGGTCAGTTTTCTGTTTTATTAACAGTAAGTCACAATAGTAACATTCATTATATTCTCAATATGCTCCATGTGTCTGCAACCGTAAGTCTGAAATTAAAGACAAACACAGCAAAACTGAAATAACATTTGAATATCAAGCTGCGTAAGTGCCGTGTCACCGCTACATGGACTTACATATTGAATAATCCTTAAAAATGTATTATTCTAGTATCAGCACTGAGCCAGCGGCACACATTTTAGGCTCACATAGTTCGGCTGGAAAATGGAAGCAGACTACTATAAAAATTGCATGTCCCTATTTAAGGAAAGTATTGAGTAGAAAACGTTTGTCATATTTATATGATTTGTGGCAAAGATGAGATATCTTTCAAAAATAAGGTTTCTGATTCGAAGACACCTTTGACAAGCACTATTATTGTATATTCTATGGCTTGGACTTGCCATATTTACAAATTAGCATCCTGAAGCTCACATGCAGATACCAGCGCTCAAACCATGTGTTTCTTTCCATTTTTGTCCATTCTATTTATTTTTAGAGATGGAAAATCCCACTTTTTTCCATAACCACTTCCTTAATATCAACATAAGAAGAGGAAGGAATGCATGACCTTCCCATATAATAAATTCACAAAGTCAAATGAGAATCACTATTAACCTCAACTTAGACTTAAAGTGAACAATATGTACTTGCAAATAGGCCAACAACTTTATAGAGCCACAGAAGACCTTTAAGAAGCATGGGCACAAGTTTTGTTCCCTTTTAAGAGTATAAAGCAAAATTGTTTCTACCATGAAAAGGAACCAAAAATGTCCAGATATTACAAAACAGTCATTAAAAGAGGGGTATTCTGGGATATATCCAACATCCTTCACCTTTTGTGTATGTTCAGTGCCCAAGTCCCCAGGGCAGGTGCCATCATGCAAATTTGTTGTGTGCATAACAACAACTGTAGATGTCAAGACGTCTCCAGATTACAATAACAAAACTGTGGATTTCAATGACCAAACAAACAAAACCTGGTTCTAGTGAAGTAGAACTACACAAGGGAGATACACAATACAGATGTGTTTTTGGATGCAAAGAGCTAAATGTTGAGAGACAATCTATTGGTTCTCATGGGTATTACTCATTACACTTTGGCCCAGAATAGCACCTGTTTTACCTTCATAAACTCCCCCCCAAATCTTAATAAATACGAAATTCCATTTTAATCAGAATAGGACTAGTGATGAGTATGTGGAAGAAAGTAACTGTTGTCTTTATCCTCAGGTCCTAAGCCAGGTCCAGGTCCCAATCCTCCAGTACCTACTAAGAAGCCATCACCAACAACAACTTCATCCCCTACTACAACCACCACTACCACCACCACCACAACCACTGCTGGTACTGACCCCGTGGACCCAACACAAGACGCCTGTAAAGTAAAAATATTTGATGCCATTGCAGAACTGCAGGGAGAGCTTCACTTCTTCAAGGACGGGTAAGCAATGGGGTTGACAAAAGACAAACAAACTTACGTTGGCATCAAAGACATGTAAAAACAAAATAACCCCCTGTAGTTGTTGTTTATAACCCATCATCCTGGAAATGTAGTATTCAAGTTAAATTATAAAGTCAGCCTGTTAACTATCTTGTTAGTTAACCTATTCTCATTGTATTTTACAGACTGTATTGGAAAGTGTCTGCCAAAGGACGGGGTCCTCCTAAATCTCCACTCCGTATCGCAGATACATGGCCTGCTCTGCCTGACAACATCGACACTGCGTTTCAGGATCCCACCACCAAGAGAATATTCTTTTTTGCCGGTAGGTATATTGCAGTCCAATATGCACATCTGGCATAATGTAACCTGTAACTGCTGTTACAAATGTACCATTTTAACTATTTCTCTAAAGCCTACACTATTATTAAAAAATGTATAAAGTAGCACAATACACTCATGCATTAGCTGCATCGCACACTCTGTTGCCTTGGTAGCAGGAAAATATTTGCTATAATTTACTTTGCTTAGTCATATCCAAAACTGGTGCTGAAACCTATGTTATATATATATGTTTTCAAGGCATCTTCTAAATTTGAAACAATATGGTATACTAGTTGTCTGTGACTTGAAATGCTGTTTGGATATAGTAGTTTATTTAAACATGTACCTTTTTGCAGGGCGCAAATTCTGGCAATATACTGGTAACAGTGTTCTGGGCCCACGCAGTATTGAAAAGCTGGGTGTGGACAAGGATGTCCAGGCTATCTTAGGAGCTATTCCCAGAAATAATGGAAAGGTGCTGTTATTTAATGGGGAGAGATACTGGAGGTGAGTAAAAAAGAAACAGTACTTAAGAATCATGTTTAGTAAAAGATGTGACAGGATCAGCACAAAGGCGACCTTAGGAAGTTGCCTAAAACCCATGGGTTAGACAGGGGCTCAAGAACAATTAATTTACTTGGTCCCATTAACCATTCCTATGTGAAGAATACAAGAGGAGCCACACTGGTAACTTGCCTAGGGCTCCGAAGGATCTTCATTCTTCTCTGTATGGAATCGTAGACTTCATTGTGTGATTAGAGGATATTTAATAGTCACTACATGCAGTGATAGTTCAGAACTGTAGGATTCAATATACATCAAGGATAAATTACAGTTTTGTTTTTAAAACTAATAATTTTGATGTGTAGACTGGAAATTTAGAGATAGAAGCAGGTGGGAACAAACGTATACAAAGTTAGAGAGGAACTGTGGCAGATCCTTGTTCTTACGCCCTGGTTTAGTTTAACGCAGGGTTGATAATGAAAAAGAAGAAAGTAAAAGAAACCCACATTCGCTGCTGCTGCCCAATGATGCCTCTTGTGTGCTGTGATGAGAAATGCAATGCTGTACGTGCTGTACATGCGCATGCTCTTTAAATATAATAATATATACACTTTGAGTTTCTTTGCCCAGCAAGTCTTGCAACTTAGAATAAAATAATATATAAGGAATTTTCAAAAATGTTTGCGCCACCAGCAGCTAACTTCTAGCGATGAGATGATCTAACCATTTTCTTCCTGTTAACAGACTAGATGTGAAGGCACAGACTGTGGATAAGGGATACCCAAGGAATACAGATGATGACTTTGCTGGTGTTCCAAGCGACTCACATGACATTTTCCTATATGGAGGTACTTAACTAGACTTGTATATTAAGTAGACAACAGCGTAACAATTACTGCTTAAGCATGACCTGAGATGAGACAATGAGCTCCTCAAAACATGCCAATAAATGATGGCTAATGTCCGGTCATTAATAAACCCATTCATTTTAAAACTTTTCTTTGAACAATCTATAGTAAATTAAACTAGAAAATTGTGCTGTAGACCTGCCGATCCAAACACTTGTGTAGACTTCATCTGGTGACCCACCTATGACCAATACTGAAGTGAACAGTACAAAATTATATAGCACTTATTTATTATATTTGTATTTGTTTGTATGTATATATTAAAAAAAAATATATGGGCACTCACCTAATCCTTGGGATACATTAACATGAGCGTTAACGCTTTGGAACTGAACCCAGTCGTTTCTCTAGGATATCCACACACTCACACACGCATAATGCTAATTATATTTGTAACTGTATCTTTCAGGTAAATATCACTTCTGCCAGGATCGCTTTTTCTGGCGCATGACATGGCGCAAACAAGTGGACAAAGTGGGATACGTTAAATATGACCTCCTGCGCTGTCCAGAGCATTAAAGGATAGGAGCACGCACCGTAGCTGGTGATGAAGGTGAATGATGGTTGGGAACACGAGAAGAACAGAAGATTGATCAACATTTTCAGTTTGGACCATATGCTGTGATGAAGTTGGGAGAGGGCGTGAAACCCAATTTTTGTAACCCGTCCCACTTGCAAGACATATGTTTTGAATTTTTGGGGTATAAAATAAGAATTGTACATGGTGGTGAGCTGTAGACACGGTTGCCACTTTAATCCCTGTGACCCGCATAGCGACCCTTGTAGCAGTGTGTATGTCAATGTAAAAAGTCTGCCTGGTGCAGGCTGGAGGAGAGTGTGTGAGTAATGGTGAGATGATGCACTCATGAAATGAGCAAGATGTGACCTTTTCAGAGATTTCTATAATATATTGTTTTCTTTTCTAATAAATATTATTTCTTTCAAACTTATACAGTGTCTGTATCTGGTGTGACTATTACAGAACATTAACAGTTCTTATAAGAAATAGGATATTTTTGCCTAAAACGTACAAAGCTACAAGGTTATAATTTGAGATTATGCATTTTATGAAACTCAGGGAGCTATATGGAGGTGTTCGATAAAGCAGGTTGCGCAGCCTTGACTCTATAGCATTTGATAGACTATTAATTTTCAAAATGTTACCTTCAAAATGCGTAATATTGACAAGATGATCTCACTGCGTTCATTACAAAGGATTCTTATTATAGTGATGTCAATTTTAGGACTGCCAGCAGACATGGCAGGCAGTCTGTACATGGACATTGAGTTAAATAATATAAAATGAATGGGATAGAAGAACGATTACCAGTCCTTAAGGTGGCAGGGCTTAATGAAACACGGACACCTCCTAGAAGCTGGTGACTGAAGGTGGTTACCTGGTGAGAGGTAACAGCCAAGCAAAAAGAAGGACAGGCTGAGGTCAGGATACAAGAGTAGAGGATGGTCAAAATACAGCCTAGAGTCAGGGGACCAGACTTTCCAACGAGTTTCAGAAATTATCTCAATGCTTGGTCCTAGGTCTTGAGAAGCTGTGTGTACGTATAGGGGAGCAGATGGACATTGCAGATAAACTGGAGACAACCACACTCTGCCCAAGTACCAGCAAGATAATTTATACATGGCCATTGGTCTGGATCCAACTCCATTGGCCACAGTTGGTGCTGCATGCGATTTGCAAGTACAGGCCCACGTCCATGCAAAATAGGACAAGAGGTTACATGTTATATGGATCAGAACATAATTTTGTAATCCTTAAAAAATAAAACCCCTCCCCCAACATATATGTAAATAAAAATATTAGCACATATTCCTAGTTTCTGCATTTGCTGCAAATCCCCAGGATTTAGAAATTCTGCAGTGAGCTCTTGCTGTACCAGAAACAAGGAACTAGCTGAAACCTTTGAGCTCATTCTAGTCCTCCCGAAGCTTTGTGCAGAAGCACTGTGCATGTATGTGGCCGTGGGAATATGTCACTTTATGGATGTATATATTTGAGATTGGGCACAAGTATATGACTTGTTTGACTAGTGCTTCGTGTAAGAGTATGTGCTTCATGATTGAGAACCCATTCAATCATTACTAAACATTCTATGTCTTGCAAGCCCTCAGTTCCCAAAGGTCAGATTTTCAATGAAATAATCTTCTGGACACGTATCTCTGCACCCTAAGCGTGTTTATACCTCCCAACTGTCCCTAATTAGAAGGGACTGTCCTTATGGTGGGTCCATGCTCCCTATTTACATTACATTTTTTTTGTCTAGTTGTTTGAAATGTGGAACAGGCACAGCTGCTAATGTGGTTTTGTGGGGATTGAGACATTCAGGTGACAAGTCCAAACTTACATAATGACACTAATAGGCAGACCATTTTGTATTTCTTCATAGCTGGCAACATTGAGGGTAGCAACAGAAGAATCAAGTTATGTTCCTAAATTGGCCAATATGATCATGGTTATGGCACGTAAAAGTACATTACACCACTAGATCAGTCCTTCCCCCTCCACTATCATTAATTCACAAAAAATATCCTTCCTATCCCATATGGATTAAAGAGAAGCCTTGTTAAATAAAAGCACTTTGATAAAAAAAACATTTCTCCCCTTATATAAATAAAATTCAAAAGATAGTTTTATTCAATCGAAAATCAAATCCACTTTCAAATTTATAGATTGTTACTTAACCAGGATTACAGTAGGCCAACCCCCGTAGCTTCGTAATACCAATCTACTAAAACTGGATACTCCAGATTTGTTGCACTCAATGTTCCGTCAAGTTTGTGTTTTTACAATCATGATTTATAAAAGAGAGAACATTTAGTTCACTTTTATATGTTATAATTATGTTTAATTATTGATTATATATTATAATTCATTTGTTTTTATTTTTTTCTTCTTTTATTTGCCTCTTAACAAAAGTCACGTAAGATGTATAAATCAGTAATAGTCTCAGATTTGCCAATTTAATATGTGATATTTGTGACTGTCTTGCTTATTATCTCTTTTTGATACATGACAGTAAAAAATATTAAAACAAAAACTAAATTATTCTCAAGTACTATTGTATTCTGTCTTTACATTCATTTTATATAAAATTATAAAGGTGGTTGGATGACATTGGAAAGCAGGATGGTTTGTTTACTAAAAGGGACATTTGCTTGTACTTGACCCTCATGACAATAATTGCCAACCCTCTGCTGGCTGGACCTATCTGTTTGATAAAACCTTACTTGGTTTGGACAAACCAGATCACTTGAACTCTCGTTGGAAGATACTGCTAACAAATTCTTGCTGAGTTTTGGAGCAGGTCTATTTAAGGACCAATAAAGTCACCCAGACCACTTTATCTCAATAAAGTGGTCTGGGTGCAGTGGTCCTCTTAGTTGGACAACAATATTTACATTGCATCTTCCCAATAGCCACTAGAGGGGCTTCCTCCTCCTGACAGCCACTAGCGGGGCTTCCTCCTCCAGACAGTTTTCCTGACAGCCACTAGAGGGGCTTCCTCCTCCTGACAGCCTTCCTGACAGCCACTTGCGGGGCTTCCTCCTCCAGACAGCTTTTCTGACGGCCACTAGAGGGGCTTCCTCCTCCTGACAGCCTTCCTGACAGCCAGTAGTGGGGCTTCCTCCTCCAGACAGCTTTCCTGATAGCCACTAGAGGGGCTTCCTCCTCCAGACAGCCTTCCTGACAGCAACTAGCAGGGCTTCCTCCTCCAGAAAGCCTTCCTGACAGCCACTAGAGGGACCCCCTCCTCTAGGCAGCCTTCCTGACAGCCACTAGAGGGGATTCCTCCTCCAGAACTGAGTGAAACCCAGTCCTGGATTCCAATGCAGCATTTGATTGGATGAGCAATGCATTTGATCGTACATAATTTTGTGATCCTTAAAAAATAAAACCCCTCCCCCAAGATATATGTAAATAAAAATATTAGCACATATTCATAATTTCTGCATTTGCTGCAAATCCCCAGGATTTAGAAATTCTGCAGTGAGCTCTTGCTGGACCAGAAACAAGGAACTAGCTGAAACATTTGAGCTCATTATAGTCCTCCCGAAGCTTTGTGCAGAAGCACTGTGCATGTATTACAGACCCCTGTGCATGTATGTGGCCGTGGGAATATGTCACTTTATGGATGAATATATTTGAGATTGGACACAAGTATATGTCTTGTTTGACTAGTACCTCGTGTAGGAGTATGTGCTTCATGATTGAGAACCCATTCAATTATTACTAAACATTCTATGTCTTGCGAGCCCTTACTTCCCCTTGAGACGCACTAGATTTGAGGAGTTTGCGCTGATAATGATGTAAGTAATCGTGGTTTGTCTTTATTTTATTTAATAGCAAACAGAAGAGAACCTAAAGTCCTGAGAAAAGATTACAGATGTTTAATAGAGAAGCAACACAAAAGTCTTCAATAAAAAACAAAGAAAAAATGTACTTGCGCACTATTCCAAATCCCTGTGCATGTTTATATAAATGGAGGTTTTTAGTTCCACTCCAACGGCCATTGGATAGAATATTCTTCAAGCAGGTATTTTTCATAAGACCAAAATTCTGAGATTTTTTTTTTTGTAAAGATCAGTATAAGGATCAAACATATCTAGGCCAACCTGACCAACATAGTTTGCGAGCTCCGTTGCCCCCCCCAAAAAACGATACTTTATTTGCATATGTGCAGTGCTGCAAATGCTTAATTGAATTGTGAGGAGAAATGAATGAGCGTTCGTTTATTCTCAGCATTTCCATGTTGGGATCCCTCTTTTCTCCTTTCTGTTTCATTCACTCGGCTAATAAATAAAATGTAATACAACCGCTCTCCAGGTTTCCATGGTAACAGCTGGGGGGGGGGAGGGGGTCGGTTTTATTTCTGCTCCTTTGACCAATTTACCTGGAGATAAAGGGAAAGACTTATGTGCATTTCTGAGCTTTTCTTGGAGCTTTTAAACAGAGACGGCACGCTAGAAGAGAAATGATGCAGTTTTTGGAATACACTTAGTGCATTATAAGGGGTATTCCCAGTGCGAGAATGCATCACAGAGCTGTGTCTGTGTTCTATTGTAAAGGTTTACAATGCAGTTGATTGTAGATGGGATTCTGAGAATGTATGATGCTATAAACTGTGCTATATACTGATCACCTGCTAAGAAAGCATAAGGCACCTGTATATTGATCAGGTAGAGAGATTGAGTATTGATTAGATAGATAGACGGACGGATGGACGGACAGACAGACGATAGATAGATAGACAGACATGCCCAATGCAATGTATTATTCAGGTATCAGGATTCCGTATCTGCTGAGAAAACTGGTGGTTACTATTTTTAGCTGGCAACTAGGAATTTCTGATTTTTAAGATGAAACCACACAAGAATTGTGCAATTCTCCTGCTCTTTACCACTAAACTGTAAATTAACCCCCCAAAATCCCCAATTTCAAAACAATAATTTATAATTACCTGCACCCCCTCACCTCAAACAATAATTGGTATTACTTAACC